GATAAGTTTGAACATTTAAACATTTATATTATATCGTTTATATCAAAATTATTAGTATATTAAATAAATATCTTAGGAATTGACAACAACTTCTCCACAAAGTTTTACTCCTTTTGTTACGATCAATTGAACCAAAAGCCTCCATTTTATTATTAGTCGGGACGTTCGTAACATCTGCCAATCTCCACGGTACTACTATTTTCTCTAAGATTGATTTGGTCAGTGCTCATCACCAAATTCTGGTCGCAAAGGAAGACATCTGCAAAACAGCTGTCACGACACCATTTGGTCTTTTCGAATTTAACCATGTGCCTTTTGGTCTCCGTAATGCAGCTCAAACATTTCAACGTTTTATGGACGAAGTCACTCGTGGCTCGACTTTGTATTTGTTTACAATGAAGACATACTCATCGCTAGCTCCGAACACGAGCAACATCTTCGCCTTCTCTTTACTCGTCTTCGTCAATATGGTGTTATCATCAGTCCGCAAAAATCCGTTTTTGGAGCCACATCTCTTGACTTTCTTGGCCGCATGGTTAGTGCTAATGGCATCCAACCTCTCCTCTCCTCTCCAAAGTCGAAGCTATCTGCAAATTTCCTCAACCAGACTCTCTCCGCAAGCTCCGCGAATTTCTACCGACTTTTCATCACGTAATGCTCTGGTATTTTTCAGCCTCTCACCGATATGCTGGGCACATCGGATTTCCATATTTAGAGAAACACTCAAAAATTTAGTTAAAATCTAGACAGAATTTAAGCCACCAAAATACATCCGAAACGCACACTACTTTTGCTAAAGAGATGACTGCAAGTTATTTTGAAATAACGACTGCGCATGTGCAATGCTATTGTCGTCAAGTATTTTGCAAGTCATGAATTTTGCTTTACACCTGTAATGTATGCGAGAAAAATTCCCAAAACATAAAAATGGATAATTATTGTTATCAGTCTTCCTCGTTACAATCAAGACTGAGACTGACTTTTATAAACACTATTAGAGTGATCTGTGGTTCATCCGTGTTCTCAAAGACGTGCCTTAACTAATGTCTTGCTGTGCGTTTAGTTTTGATCGTTCTGTGATCGTTCTGATCGTTCTGATATCATGTCGGTAAAAACTGTAGCATAGTCCAGGCATTTCCTTTACCCAGGAGTTAAGTACTTCAAATTCCTTATTACCTTTTTTAACTCAGGAAACTTTATAAACTGATTGTCTAGATTTTTTACTGAAAATTGGTGGACCTTCGGTTGTTTGGTTTCGAAAATGTACGTATGCTGCATTGCTTTTGACCTTCTATCGTTTATTAAGTACGTAACTAAGAACCACCATCTATATGAAACTTATTTCTCAAGTTATTCGTAAATTAGGAGAGCCAAAAAGGTAAAAAATGTGACTTATTCCTGCACAAGATAAAAATTTTTAGGGACTATTAACCTAATTAATAAGAAAATTTGTTAAGGTACATTAATTTAGGTTTTGCCTTGATCACCTTCAATGGTATGCACCCAATGCAATTAAACCTTTAAAGCAATTATATACATAATAATGGGGTGACTGGCAGAGAGTAAAAATTAAAAAAAACATCTCTAGCATTTACAATTTAAGGTAGATTCAACATTATTGAGTCGCCATAAACTGCAAGGATTCTGTCATTCGCAAACTTTCAAAAACATGCAATGAATACAGCATAGTCTGCTCAGTCATTTGTTTATGCAATGCAAAATTTCACTTGCTGTGAAAACTATGGATTTCTAAAAAAAAATTAATCAATAGTAATATTCTCAAATTTACCTACATTTCAGGATTATTATTTGCAAAATGATAAGGTCCCTGTTTGTTATAACATGAATCCCAGGCAAGTCTTTCATGGAAAATAGAAACACCAGTGGGCATTAAAAATGTGTTATAGAGAAAAGTCGGGTTTAATCATTTAATTTTTGGAAAACGATTGTTGAGGGAAAATCGAGGGAAAACCATAGGTTTTCTGATTATAAGATTTGTGAGAATGTTACAGGATCTGCCCTTAAGTTCCAACAAACTCAGAATACTACGAAAAATTTGTGATCAACAGTCTTGAAGGCATACTCAAAAATAGAAGAATTACCAAGTTTTTTCACCACTTTTTAAGATGTACTACCTGTGGCACCTCTCAAAACTTAACCCTAACTAATACAAGAAACATGATATGAATATTATGAAATGAGTATATGTATGTAAATACTATGATCTTATTACTTTTATAAAGGAGAAATTGCATTATTGAAGAAAACTACAGATCGATGTAATGCAAAAAGATATAGTAACTAGTGGTACATACATATTACATCTGACAGCAGAGAAAGATAAAAAGCTCGAGAGGGTTGAATACAAATAAAAACAAAATTGTTTTTTATAGTACATAATAAAAACAAGTGTGAGTATAAAAATATAATAATTATGTGTTTAATAGGCCAAGTTAAAATTTTAACTGTGGAGTAAATTTTACAAACATCGTCAGCAAACGTTGCAATTTTCAATTGTCCAGCAATACTAAATATAAACACACTGGTATTGTGGTACAGTCAGAAAATAAACCATGCTCTCCCCAATAAAGGGAAAATCCTAAGTATATCTGCTTATATATCTCTGACATCTTGTAAACTGTCTATTATATAAGTTAAGGGTATAATTCGAAGATATAAAATGCACACTATATTTAATGTCAGTTACAGCAACAATAACTAAACCCATCAGATCAAAAAATAATAAAAACGTTTGCATGCCATAGAACAAGCAGCAATATTTATTATAGTTTAAATACTCACTCCCAATTGCAATATAGCCTGGGGGGCGGCTACAGCCCCCTGTCGGGTAACCCCAGCCCTTCATCGAAGGAGAATGTGAAAATTTGTTGTAGAATGAACAAAAAATGAAACGAAAATTTACCAAGTCAATGTTTGTCGTCTGCATCCTATGTGGTTGATACATACACTAAAAAATTACATTTCAAACGGTATTATAATTCTTTAAGAGGTGTATCTTGTCTGTTTACACGAAAATTGTGTAAATTTACACCTTTGCGGTATTTGCTTTACACTTTGAAACTTAGAGTGTACTTATATTGAAGCCTGGCAGAAGCATTATCGCCTTAACGCAACGACTCAGTGTATCTTTCAAGATATTACAGATTGTGATTTAATCAAACTTATAGGTAATCCGGTTTCCTTTATCTCAAATATCTGAGATCTGTTTAAGATATTTTTAAGACAAAATAACACACGAACGCTCATTAACTGTTTTAGCTAGAAGTCAGCATTCCTGGGCATATTTATTAAATGTGCAAGAGTAAATTGAGCAATACTGACGTTTAATATGCCCGTGTAAGTTTTGTCTTTTTTCAAACCCACTAATTAAACAAATAATCAGTGTGTCTGTCTTCCATTAAAAACGGCCTTTTTATGTAAGAGACAAATATAAGAGCACTGCATCATGTATTAAACACACCTGTAACCCAACCCAGATTTTAACAACATTAAAAAATACGTAATCAAATACCACACTGACATGAGAAAAAAGGATGCCTTTTATTCTTCAAACAAATCTGTAGCTACCCTTCCTTTTATCCTTTGTATTACTGTCCATGGACGTTAACTATGATGACATCAGTAATTACATAGAATTTAAATGTGTCGGAATATCTGTTAGATAAATTGCACGCCTTTTTTGTGTGCTGAAGTCTCGGTTGATTAATATTACTGTGATTTGGTCCAAATCTAATTTTCAAAATACCCTACCACACAAAACAATTGGTGGAAAAGCATAAAATTACGTATCACTCCTTTCAACATAAATGCACTAAGGGCTATTACTTCCGTGTCACGTTTCCAAGAAACAGTAGTAATCTTTAGATAAGTTAACACTGGAGTAAACAAATTCACTATATGTTATAAAACAATTTAGGTGTCAAATTTTATTCTCTTTGATCATGAAATTCTCTTGATGCTTTTATGTCATCTATGTTCAAATGACCAAGTAAATGAATAGCACTGAGCTATAAATTGCTCTTAGTATTCCACATCCAAATTTCGCAGGCCAAGCCATTGCAATCCACTATAACATACCTTCCCCCTCCCCCAACGTTTTATGCCCATAAGCACTTCTGACAATTATAAAAAATTATATGTTTCAAAAATTCTACTGGTAACTCCTGCCCTCCAGCAGTTTTTCATTAAACGATGCTCCCTTTCCAAAGAGTGAAGTTTCAGCAGTACATCATTAGTTTTTAGGTTGAGATTATAAAATAGGTTTGAAAATTGGAATTAATTGCAGAAAAATGTTGCAATATAGCCAATTATTGGCCTTCTTGCCCTCCTTGCAGAATTTGTTTCTTTGTAAGTTTCCTATAATCAGGCCATTCTGTAATATTGCAGTAATTCTACATTTTATTTGCTTTAACTTTATTGTTTACCAAATTTTACAGCTGCGTTTGCTTACATAAATTCAGCTTTCACATTTCCGCTTGCTTGTATATAGCATAAAACACTAACGTCTAATTGTTATTTCATGAAACATTTCATACTACTGGAATCCTTTTCTCAGGACTTCCGTTATGGATAGCTGGACATGAGCCATTAACGTCATAAACTAGAGCTTCAACAAGAACAACGTCACTCCAGTTCATTCTACGTTTTTTACTCTTTATTTCAGAACCAACAAGACAATAATGCTGTCGCAAAATCTTAAGGCATACCTCAACCATGTCTCCAACACAGGTCTCTGGTGCTCTTCCATATTTAAAGAGAATCAAGGAATTATTAATTTCATAATCGGATTCGTTCACACAATGTTTAGCCTTTATACCAGCCTCTTTGTTTGATAAGCAATAACTGGTTAATATTATCTGAGCTGAATCAAGTGCCGACCTAGGTTCACCCGTATGAACACTTAACTGAGGATCTGATAAAATTTCTTTGATGTCGGTTGATCTAACAGCTGCTTTGGGCTCAAACTTTTGTTGTACTCATCAAAGGGCAGTGCAAATTTTCAGATTCCAATAGTAACGTTCTCTCTCAAAGTGCCATGCATAGTTAAGGACAAGACTTACCGGACATATAAGGCCGTCTGTGCTCATAATTCTATAAACCTCTTCAAAATCGCGAGCTTTATATCGATTTATTAAGTATTTTCTACAATTTGTAAATGTATCACGATATATGTAAATTGGAAAATGTAGCATAAAGTCCCCAACAGCTTGTCGACCAAGAGCAAGAAATATAGCTCTGTCGCATTGTCTTGCAAACTCAACGTGTAATAGTGTGCAGTCTGTACCAATAACTCTTAAGCGTGTGCCATTAAACATTGAACGATGGGTCACAGACGCTGAAAATGCGGTGTCGGAATCAACCCATGCTATAACCGTATCGTTTGTGTACAGATCATTATAAAAACTGCTCCAAATTTGTCTGTTGTAACCAGTGTCTCGTTTAGGCCATGGCATTTTTAAGAGTGTTTCATGACCGTTAGGTAAAGCTTCATACACAATTATTAAATTACGGTGAGGGAAATATTTCACAAAATGATCTTTCATAATTGCTGCTAGTTTATGATCAAGTTCAGACTCTTCGTCCAATACCACTACAAGTTTACCATAAGATGGAGGCCAGAATAGTACCATTGTCCTCAAAAAATCGCAATAAAATCGTTCTATATGCATCCCTGTTAATCGCATTAACAAACTTACAGATGGCAGTTTGTTAGATTCAACGTTACTAATTCTCAAAGGACTGCTTTTTGAATGCTCCAAATCTTGCTTACTTGTCTCGCGACGAGTAATAAATAAAATGTACATGGCACTTGAGATAGATAAGATGGCAATCAACTGCAAGTAATTTTTCATTGTTATGGGCCACCACAAAATTATAACTAAAAAGTAAAAACAAACTAGATATTTAAATAAGAAAAACTTCGGTTTTAAATGTTGGACATTAGACACGACCAGGGGTGGCTCAGAGGTGGGCAGGGTGGCTACAGCCCCAGTCGGGAATCTTACCCCCACTTCTCGTCGGCGATAATTTAACTATTTATCTGGGAATGAATAACGAAAAAATGTAATTTCCAATGTCGATTATTGCCATTTGTTTAAAGTCAAGTGAGCACTCAACATCGGCAATAATCTTCATGCACGCCAGCTATCCGACATCAAATTTCAAAAATAATAATAAAGTTATTCTGAAATACTTATTTTTAAATGTTAATTAGAAAACAGATATGCAAATGCGACATGAGATATATTTGCATATGCAATCGTCACGACGCTTGCCCGCTATTACTTTGATGTCGGGTTTTTTTGAATCTACACTTTCGAATTTTGAAAGGAAATTCTTTGTAAAAGCTAAAAAACTCTGCTGTTTGAATTTCAAACCAGCAATGAGCATTAGATTCTGACAGTTTAACATGTATTAGGATATTGATTTTGATCAAATGTCTGGAAAGCTAATGATTTTAGGAACTCATTGTGGTCAACAGAGCAAACTGAATTTGGTTACCGTAGTGAACAAGTTCAACGCTAGAATTCCTAAAGTGTAGAATTATTCTCTAAAAATCAAACATTTAAATGGAGTGATTCACCGTTATATCTTTTTCGTGCATTATTATATCTTACTCGTCATTTATATACAAGTCATATCTTACTTGTGCATTATTAATATTGCCTCTTATATTTATAAACTATTTCCTACTATATATTTATAAACTATATACATGCAGTCAAGAAGAACTGCTCACCAGCAAAATAGTTTAACAGTTAACATTGAGATAAAGTGCCAAAACATAAGATTAAAGTTAAACAAGAAAAAAAATAGTATAATAGTATCTCTAATAACTAATGGATCCTCATCTTACTTTGATTACAGCTTTGTATATAGGTTAAAGAAGATGTTCAATATGTTTATAAAGATTTGACGGAGATAATTTTTTTGATTATTACTATCCAACACTACTATAAAACACATTGCATTTTTTTTACTTACTGTATAGCTTTATTATAGACAACCATATGTATATATCTGGATTGCATGCACGACTAGCAGGGCTGTTAGTACAATAGTGATTAGTGGGGATATTCATATATTCAGTTGTGTCAGACTGACTTCTTTTAAAAGTAACTTTCTTTTAAAAAAATCAGTTGGGCACAACCCAATACATGTAAAAATAACCCATCCCCCAAACTAGCGTTCTAGTTGCGGCTCTCACAACTAGTCGAAAACATGATATTTCCAAAACAAACTGTTGTTTCAACGATTTATTTAAAGCGAGGATAGGATTGGAAATATTTTTTTCTGAAGAAAAGGATTTGCATGAAAATCACATTGTCATATCAGCTTAGTAAATCAGCCTATCAGGTGACCTTAGCCCCTTCGTCGGCAATATCTTGCGCCACCTCTGGACAAGACATGGATAACAAAACATTAAACACATCAGCTGCCTTTCCGCTTTCTCTTTTTTAACATGCTTTATTTCTTAACAAATGGCTTTCTATAATACTTTCGGAGTATTTCATCGCTTGCATGACAGCGGAGACATCATTATTTTAATTTAATTAACCGCGACAAATGAAATACTGCCGGTGCAGTTCAAAATGCCATTGAGATTAAACTTAGAAAGAACGAAGTAGCTCTTAGGGGAATAAAGGTTTCTATTAAAAAATTTGTCAGAACCATCACATACTTTAATGTACTAAGACATTTAATACATGTAGTAATGTTGCATGCCTTTGACAAGGATAGTGCAAAAGCCCACTGTCCCCTTACTCAACTTAGAAATTGAAAAATTTGCAATTTCACCAGCGAATTTCCCAAAACTAGGGTTCTATCCCAATTTTTATTGGTTGTCACTTATTGTACAAAGAAAAAACTTTTTTGGTCGTTTTAAATCATTAGCGGATCTAGCGTTCATCAAAATCATATACGTCTTCTCAATTTTATACTCAAAATACCTTCATACTGACACCACACTGTAGATAATATAAACTAAGTCTAAATGATGCTCAAATGGCAGCAGTATACCTAATTAGATTATTTGCTGCCGTCAGCAAAAAAAATCAGTTGAGTGACCCTATTTTGTGTTCACATTTGGTTTTGAATTTTAAAACAATTTAATTTTAGCAATAAATAATGCAGTCAAATGATGGAAGTTGCTTATTTTAATTTACCCTAAAAGACCTGTAACTGGAAACAATTATTCATACATTCATACAAATTTTTCTATTGCATTTGCGTCACCTTAGGGACTAATCATTCCTAAATCATTCAAGTTCTAAATGTCAACCAATTTGAAAGACGAGCTTTTTTGCTGAAACAACAAGTAGTATTTTATTGTATTTATATTGCATTTATGGATCTTTGGAGGTCAATTACTGCTTGCTTAAAAATTTAACTCTTAAATGAAACTAAGTGTTAAAAAGTGCAATTGATAATTTTAGTATTGTATTGTATTGTATTAGAGGTTGTTAACCAGAAGTATCAGGATAAGTTTTGTGATTTTAATCCCATTCATAGTATGAGGTAATGTGATAGTAATATCCATTTTCACTTTCAATGCATTTACATTCCTTATTCTCTTTAATTTCTACCTGCTCTACGTCGTCTATCCACATTAAACTAATCTTAAGACGCAGGAAGCTCTGTAAACTAAATACTAAAGCAAAATTCAAGAAAACATTGAAATGAATTGTTCCCTGAATGGATTAAGTGCAGGTAGAAATTGAAGAGAATAAAAAGTGGGAATCTATTGAAATGGTAAATGATTATTACAATTACATTTTAAACAAAACCGAAAAACTTAATATTGCACTTAAAATTAATAACGAGTACATGTGTATCACTTAAAATGAAACGACATAGTTATTTCCCATATTCAAAAACCAACAAAGGCTTTGTCTCTTCTACCAATCAATTTGAAGAAAAAAGGGTGCTATTCCACCACCCAACCTACCCCCAAAAAAAGTTGTCCCGGACCAAATTTGTTGGGAATTTCTCCTCCCTGGGGCCATATTTCCTAATAATCATGAACCCCTCCTCTTTAAAAACTTATATTTTACTTTCATATCAATAACAGTGCAACTTTTCAAAACCAAGAGTGCATGCAATTTACGATATGACAAGTAATGCAAATTTATTAAATATTATTAAACCATTTAGATTAGCTATCGGCTATCGAACTTCAGCGCAGACATCATTCGTTAGCGCTTATAAATTCACAGATCTAATCTACAAACACATAAATAGAATGATTTACTTTATATTAAAAGCTTTGAAATCGTTAAGTGTATACTAGAATCAAATTTCTATATTCTAGACTATTTTACTAAGTTCTATCAGTTAGTTTATTTAGCTAAGCAAAGCATATGACTTGAGTTAACTGAATGTTTTATGAAGTGGGAAAGCCTTTAGAGAATGTGTGTATGAAATGTGTTAGTCACACAACTCTTTGATGCTTTATTAGACACGTGAATACTAACATGTTTGTTAATACATGATGTTATAGTTGAAATGCGAGCATTTAAAGTCAAAAAGGAGTTTTGTAAAATCCTTTACAAATTCAAAAATTGACATGTATGCTGCTGTGAAGCCTGCGATTTTTTTAAGGGATGAAAAATCTATGAGTGAGCTCTGTGTGTGTGGCAAAGACGATCTCGCGAGATAAATTTCAGTATTGCTGTTGAAAAGCAAGCCATTGTTTTCCCTTGTCGTGCCCCATTTCTAACTAACCATTTCTCACTTGAAAACATTCAAGTACTCCTCACCTTTCAGATTTTCTGAAAAAGACGTTAGCAAAATGTGTTGTTTTACGTAAAAACGATTCCCACAGAAAAACATTTGCATTTTACAATAAAAATTCATGACGTATGTCCGCTCTTAGCTACATTCTAAGATCATCAATATTACTGAGGCTTAGTCCACATCTATTGTGTAAACACTTTACCAAAAAAGTAAATTGTGGAAGAGCATTAGAATAAGTAACTACTACTCTAGTCTTTAGAAACTCCCTCTCCAAATAAAACACCTTACGTCCATTCCAAAAAATAACGACTTAAATTGTCACTCATGTTATATTATTTTGTACCTGCACTGTTTTGGACACTTGGAAAATATTATGAATTTTAGAAAAAATAAAATGTAAGGAAAGTCAAAATACTTTTGGTAAGATTATATGTTGGAGTAGCTATAATATAATTTATTAAACTGTTTCAAAACCTACTTGACGTGGGTGCATTTCAATTCTAACAATCGATAAGCTGTAGAAAAAAAATAGACAATAATTTCAAGATTGTTTATTTTAAACAAGGCATGTACAATACAAAACATTCTCCAAAAGTGAAAGATATTAATCACATAACGGCAATATGTAGCAACTGACACAAGTTTTCTAAAAATATTAAACTTCGCAACTTTTCGACAAATTCACTGAAGTAAATATAAAGATATCAAAGCCCGGCAAAGTGCTTTTAAAAGAGCCATTTAATACTAAAACTTGTAAAAAAAATATTTATTTAGAAGTGTAACGTTTCGTCTTTACTCTCAAGACATCATTAGACAGTATTAAAGTACAAGTATAGAGGGATATATATATAATTGCTATTTACATAAAATTAAATTACATGGAGGAATGAAAACCTGAAAGTAAATATGGGATAAGATGGTATGATGTAGGATAAGTAAAAACACGAAACACACAATCACAAAGTATACACGTGGGATAAGTAAAAACAGGAAACACACACAATCACAAGGTATACAGACATAGAGACGGACGAAATTAGGTTAAAGCAACAGGAAGACAATGGAGCTTCCTTGGACTTTAAGAGATGGTTTCATTTTGTTGATTAAGAGGCTTTCGTTAATAAGAAGCTCTTGTGAGTCTAAGCATGAAGAAAGTATTTTTAAATCCTCGAAGGTGGTGATGTGTCTAGTGGACTTAAGGTGTGATAGTATGGAGGAATGACTGGGATGTTTAGAAGGTTTACCAGTCAAAGGGGTGATGCCCAAATGCTCTGAAATTCGAGTGTGTAGGTGGCGGGTGGTTTGACCCACGTACGATGTGGAACAGCATCGACACTTGAAAGAATAGACAACATTTGATATCAGACTTTTGGCTACTTTATCCTTGAAAGGAAACAGGCTTGAGAGGCGTTTGGTGGATCGAAAGAAGAATCGTATTTTACAGTGTGTGAAAGGGACACGACAAAGGCGATTGATTTGAGTGCAGATTTGGGATGATTGTAAGCCAGTAAATGAAAGGCCGAAATACAGTATTTTCTTAGGTAAGGTACGAACAGGTGGTTTGGGTTGAAAGATTTGTCAAAAAACATTTTTACACAGTGATCAAATATGTGACAGGAAAATGAATTGGAAATAAATAATCTGCGTGCTTTTTTTGATTTCAGTATGGAAGTTTTCATAAGTGGAGCAAATATTAAAAAAGCGGTAAACTAAACATAATATTATACTGCGATTATATATTAGTGGGTTGAAGCTGGGGAAATTAGTAAAAAGACCTGTGAACGTAGGTATTTTGTGTATGGACGTGGGGAATTTTCCATTAGAGCGTCGAATAGTGATATCAAGAAATGGAAGTTTTCCATTGTGTTCGATTTCACTCTTGAGCTTAATACTGTGATGTTTGTGGTTTAAATAGGTGAGAAAGTGTTACACATGGTCAGCAGTACGAAAAAGGAGAAAACAGTCATTAACGCATCTTCTATAAAGTAAGGGTTTAAAGTGAGAGGGACAATTTTTGAGCCATGTTTCTTCATGGAATGACAAGAATATGTTAGCGAAAAAGGGTCCTAATTGGCTGCCCACAGCAACGTCATCAACTTGGTGGTATAGACAACCGTTAAATATAAAATGACAATTTTTAACTGCCAGGTTTAGGAGATTAGTAGAATTATTGTGGGAAAATAAGCTGTTAGCAATTTTTTCAATGGTTTCATCAACGGGGATGTTAGTATAAAGTGAACAGATCTCAAAACTGGCCATTACAACATTGGTGTTGATGTTGGAGGATAAAATTTCCTTGATAAAAGAAAAGGAATCTTTGATCATGAAAGAATTAGATGAGATTGTGGTGAGAATGGGGATAAAAAATTTTGATATCTTATAAGAGAAATGATTTATACATGATAGGATAAGCCTTACTGGTATGTTGGTTTTATGTACTTCGGGTAGTCCATTCGAAATATTAAGAGTTGTTGCTATCTAAGTCATACATCCTTTTCCTTTTTCTTAAAATTTTGGGATGAATTTCAAAATAGTATCAAGAGCATCATTTTCGTATTTAAACTATATATCTTTTAAATTGTTGTTCCTCCATGTTAGGCCTCAGCAGAGATACGTAGGCGTTAACGATTTATGTACAATTGGTCTTTGATAAAAAAAAACAAATAGTAAGAACAGAATATAGGCAAACCACAAAAAAACGACAACTATACAACTGAATAAGTCGGATACGTATTTGTTTACACCATGCAATTAAGCTGTGACGAAAAAAATTATGATTTGCATACTTATATAAAACATTCAGAACGCATAAAAACAATCATATGATATTATTAAAATTTAACGGCATTAAGCACTCAAAAATATAAGGATTGGTTTAGTTTTAGTAAAAAAATCAATTCCCAAATAGGTCTTAGTATCATGTTTTTTTAACCCAGTTTACTCGCAGGAATACAGGATGCATTTATCTGGCAAATTTCATGTAAATTCGAATTAAAGTAACTCCGGTAAAATGCATAATGACACCAGATACGATAAATTTACAAATGTAATGTATATAGCAACTTACAGTTTTTCCAGATTTAAAGTGTCAACATCAGCATAAGATCTTTATCAAAATATGCCTTACGATACTGAAGTGCCTATATAAAGTCCACCTGCAATATTTAACGACATCTGCTAAAACATCCAAGTTCTTAGTAAATACACGAAATACAATAAAGGTCTCATGTAAAAATCACGAATTCAAAACATTTAGCTTTAAAAGAAAAGTAGTAAAGCAAATACGTAGAAATGTTTCAAACTTTTATGGGTATTTTTCGTTTTCAGTTATATTTTTCATGATCATGACTAATAAAAAAAAGCATAAAGTGTCGTTACATGTTTGTAAATGTAGATCATCCAGGTTGGTATAGTCCTGAGAAGGACTGTTTTTGTTGTTGTTGACTGACGTTTCGACAACCTTAGCGGAAGTCATCTTTGGAGTCAGATGAGGACTAAACGTCAGGTTAGCCGTATTTGTTATCTGGTTCTTACGTCATTGTATTGTTTGTACAGGAAATGTGTATTGTCATTGTGAATTAGTGTGAAGTGAAATATTTTTATTTTTAGTTGTGATGTGTGATTTAGGTGTGATGTTTTTAGTTGTAATATGTGGGTGTCAATTGTGTATTGTCATTGTGAATTACTGTGAAGTGTAACGTTTTTAGTTGATCATTTGTTTGTATTGTGAATAAGTCGTTTGTAAGGTGCCGGTAATTGCTGTGATTTGTTCAGGTGGGTTAGTTCCAAGTTGGTATACCAACTTTCTAATGTAAGCCGTTGTCTATAGTCAGTACTGTAAGTAATGGATTTTGCCGAGTCCCAGGCAATGTTGTGCTTCGTGAGTCAGTGTTGGGTCTCATTTGAGTTGTTCGTACGTTTGTCCGTCGTCAACAAAGGTGTCCATTTTGCTGCAGTAATCATTCCTGTCCATGACCACAGATACGCATCCTTTGTCTGCTGGTAAAATGACGATGAATACCGTTAAGGTTTTCGAAACGTCAGTCAACAACAACAAAAAAAGCATCTTAAGAGCTTTGCTATGTAAGGCTGCGTTTATACTATACCAGATTCACTCAACACAAGACATCTTCTTTTTTTTAAAGGTTAACTGCTCGGAGAAAAAGCTTATTAAGCTGATAGATTTAGTCGATTTGATTGCGTTTCTGATTTTGAACAATTTCCCTTCCTTTTAATACAAAGAATATTAAACCTGCTACGATAATAATTAAAATTTATATGGCACACGCAATCGATGAAACTACAGCAAACTTCGAGTAATATTTTATTGCAGGTGGCAACCACAAAAATGTGTTTGAATAATTATGAGGCGCCAAATCACAGAATAGATGTCTTAACAGAAGGTCCACTATTGTCGGAACCTTTAATGTTCTTTTCCCCCACTTTTCTGAAGTAATTTCTAAGCAGACACGCCTTTCAGCAAGTTTTTTCAGCAAACAGCAGTCAAGCAAAGAAGCGTGGTGCCCTCCCAAACATAAGGACGCCCGTACGCCCATGCTCTACGACAAAGTTCTGACAAAAAGAAGTTAAAAATAACCAGAGACGACTATCGCAAAGTGTGCCATAAAAACTACCGAACCGAAAAAAAGCTCAATCAAAACTATAGAGATTAACATCGTTGACTTGACTAAAGGCTGATTGTTGGCGTGCGAAACAACAGAAAAAGTAAGTGCCAGTCAATAAGTCATTTATTTTTCCTTGCTGTCTGAAATTAGCTTTCAATCTCATTTTATGAATTCGATGGAAGTTAAACTTTGTAATTGTTCTGAATGGAAAGACACGAGCTATCAAGCACACTTAAACATTTTGTAAACTAACAGAACTGTTTGTACAATGAGGTATTGGAAAGAGAAATATATGACATATAATTTACTGTTCTCCTCAATACCTTAGTTTCAAAAACACGTAATTGACTATATTACGGATGGTTTCCACCTGAAATTTCCAGGCAGCAGAGAGTGATATTGATCATTTTGCTAATAAGCACTCAACAGAAAAATTACAAGTGGACCAGTTGAGCGTCGCAATCCTTTTACTATGGTAAGAATTGTCAAACAATGCAATATCATGAAAGAATTTACAATGTAGGACATACGTATGTCACTAAACGATATCTTGATCACAAATTGGCATTGTGTATCTAATTGAAACTAACAACTAAGATACGGCTTATTTTATGGTTTGTTTAGCTTGCAGGAGGTTGACTTATGTTTACAAAAATGTGACCCAGTTTCTATTTTGAAGTCGGACAAATTACAAATGGAAGCCATTAATGTTGTGCTTAAAATAGTACCATTTGAAGTCACATTACCGACTTGTGGATTACTTTTCAACCAGGGACTCTGAGGGCATCTGTTGATAAACAAATAATTGATGAAGTGCCTTATTTGTGCCAGGATGGCTTGCCTATACTATAAATAAATATAACTAAACCTTTTTAAGTAATTAAGCAAGAAGTATATAAATAAACATTATTGAAATATTTTTTCTAGATGACAGCGATTTAACAATAAAAAATTTAGTTTATTGTTTATATAACCGACCTCGTTTGAATAAGCATAGCGTGCGCCTGCACCGCTATACAGGAGCGCCCGAACGCCTAATATTAAATACTAAATGCTAAAACATACGTGTTTTACACACTTTGTTTCTTTTGAAATCAATTGTTTGTTAAGAGCAGTGACTACGATTATAGGTATGAATATTTGTAGGAGTATATGAATATATTCGTTAATAGCAAGTATTAGATCAATATTTAGTAAAATATAAACATAAAGCAAAGACTATTCTAGAAAATTGGTTCAACATTGTGGCAACTTCGTTGCAACAACAAGCGCATTTTCGTTGCCGATACAACCTTACCAAAAATGGGAAAGCGAGGCTGAACAGCCCGTCGACTGTGGTAAAGAGAAAGGTTTTAAAATATTGTGAAGATTTTCATTTCTTTGAACATAAATGGAGTGTATTAGACTTTGTTCGTAAGTAACTCTTCAAACACATATCACACTTCATTTTTTGTATTGCGCCAGTAAAAAATGTGTAGATTAAAGGAGACCGTCTTTAAGATCTACGTTGTCCTAACGTTTCTCGTTATGGTTTTTTTTGGAGATTCATAATAAAACTTAAAAATGTCGTCTGTGTATTGATCCCATAATGAGAAAATCTAACAAAACAAATGTTGAACATTGCTCAATCCCTTTAAAGGGGTAGTCAGACCTTAACACAACTTTCGCTCATATGAAAGTGTATATTGTTCTTACCTCTCTCGCGAAATCCTAGGTTTCCAATTCAAAGTTAACTCGAGAAATAATGCCTTAAATGTGTGTATTTTTCGATCGTCATTGTGTACATGCAAGCGAAGCCGCAGTCCAGCAGCGGTTTTTCGTCGTTACGTCACTGCGCGGTGATCGTTGTCAACATTAGACAAAATATACTAGCAAAAGTAGAAATTACGCATAGGCATATTCACCGTTGCATTTTATTTTCTAAGTTTTTAAATTATTTTGCGCAATGGATACGGATTACTCAAACGATTCCTCTAGTAATTATTCTGGAAGCAGTGTTTCAAACTACGAAGAAATGATTGACGATCAAAACATGATTCAACCATATGCTTATGAGCCGATTGAATCAGACTCTAGCGACGAGCCTATGGACGACTCCGACGAAGTTCAGCTGTTATAACAATGAATGAAGACTCAGCACAATTTGAGGGAATAGATACTCCGGACTGTATTACAGATAATCCTGTTTTTCGAAATCTTTGTTTAAATTATTGGGTATTACGACTGGCATGGAGTGAGTACAAACAACACTATGGTTCAAGAAAATTAGAGTACCACTACCATCTTTTGCTGTTAGCTACATTCGAGCACATTTCCAACCGCCAGGTCTAGAAGAGGACTTTGTCTTTGAGGGTTTTAAATTCGCTGATGAATAATAATGGTAATGTAAACTATTATAGCCATATTTATAAGTATCGTTAATGATGAATTACTAATAAATAAAAATATAAATTGGATTTAGTAAATGAACAATAAATACAAATTATAATGGCCAAGCCAAACCAATTCTTTATTTGTGCTATGCAAGGATTTTGGTGTACATAATTAAAAAGTGCCTTTGTTAATGAATTTGCATAGCAAAACAAAAAATTGTGCTACTTTACTATTAGAGATTCTCTTATTATTAATTATAAATATTGATATATACATAATTATTTTTGGGGGACTGTTTACACATTCTTGATTTGTGTGCTTCTAAAACACTTTATTTGTTTGGCTTTTCTATAGATGCAATATTTCTTGGAATGTTTGCTGGTAAAGAAATCTTGTTATGTACATTTTTTACATTAAAACAGCAGACATCTTCCATCATACCTTGCACAAAAGAATATGACTTACTCACCATAATTGGCTTGGCTACCCAATTTTTTCGCCCTTTTGGGAACACGATAAGCACAAGTGGAAGGAGGGAAAATACTTTATTAAAAGTGCTTTTCGTATAAAGGTATGCTTGCAAGAACCAAGTTGGCAGCGATAGACCACAATGTAAACACTGGCAGAAAACAAGCACAAGTTCAATGTGGAAAGCAGCAAGGGGAAAAATGATATAATATCGTGTTCCCAAAAGGACGAGAAAATTGGGTAGCCAAGCCAATTATGGTGAGTAAGTCATATTCTTTTGTGCAAGGTATGATAGAAGATGTCTGCTGTTTTAATGTAAAAAATGTACATAACAAGATTTCTTTATCAGCAAACATTTCAAGAAATATTGCATCTATAGAAAAGCCAAACATAGGAAGTGTTATACAAGCACAATAATAAGAGAATCTCTAATAGTAAAGTAGCCCAATTTTTTGTTTTGCTATGCAAATTCATTAGCAAAGGCACTTTTTAATTATGTACACCAAAATCCTTGCATAGCACAAATAAAGAATTGGTTTGGCTTGGCCATTATAATTTGTATTTATTGTTCATTTACTAAATCCAATTTATATTTTTATTTATTAGTAATTCATCATTAACGATACTTATAAATATGGCTATAATAGTTTACATTACCATTATTATTCATCAGCGAATTTAAAACCCTCAAAGACAAAGTCCTCTTCTAGACCTGGCGGTTGGAAATGTGCTCGAATGTAGCTAACAGCAAAAGATGGTAGTGGTACTCTAATTTTCTTGAACCATAGTGTTGTTTGTACTCACTCCATGCCAGTCGTAATACCCAATAATTTAAACAAAGATTTCGAAAAACAGGATTATCTGTAATACAGTCCGGAGTATCTATTCCCTCAAATTGTGCTGAGTCTTCATTCATTGTTACAACAGCTGAACTTCGTTGGAGTCGTCCATAGGCTCGTCGCTAGAGTCTGTTTCAATCGGCTCATAAGCATATGGTTGAATCATGTTTTGATCGTTAATCATTTCTTCGTAGTTTGAAACACTGCTTCCAGAATAATTACTAGAGGAATCGTTTGAGTAATCCGTATCCATTGCGCAAAATAATTTAAAAACTTAGAAAATAAAATGCAACGATGAATATGCTTATGCGTAATTTCTACTTTTGCTAGTATATTTTGTCTAATGTTGACAACGATCACCGCGCAGTGACGTCACGACGAAAAACCGCTGCTGGACTGCGGCTTCGCTTGCATGTACACAATGGCGATCGAACAAGAGGCAAAAATACCCACATTTAAGGCATTATTTCTCGAGTTAAATTTGAATTGGAAACCTAGGATTTCGTGAGAGAGGTAAGAACAATATACACTTTCATATGAGCGAAAGTTGTGTTATATCCTGACTACCCCTTTAAATCTGCTTGACAATTTGAGGTAAAAAATTTGCAATGGTAACTAAAACATTTCTTTCTTTCATAAAATCAACTTTTACCATAAAATCATCTTTTAAAACCCTTGTGTTGTTGACAGGGACAAGTGCAGAATTAAAAAAAGTGAAAGATCCAAAAATTAAGTCATGGCACACTGGCTGATGTTGATTAACAAATTCCATGACAGTGTCAAAGAAAACACTTAAATAATTCTCTCATATTACACTTTGTCTTCATTTGTATATTTGTAGTGCTACAGCTCTTGCAGACGAACACAAAGGCCATGGCAAAGTTTTCTAAGCCAAAGTCAAAATTTTACATGGTGGAAATTATCGGGATTTAATTTTATAAATAAAAATTTTGAACATATTACAAACAAATTTTTTTTAATGCATAGGATGCAATACTATTTACCAAAAATAGATCCAATAGAAATTGAATTATGTTATTTATAATTTGATTCCTTTGTGGTTAAAGTTTGTGCGAAAAGCAATGGAAACTAAACAAAACAAAGGTTTCGTTTATTAAGGTCAAAGAGTCGAATATATAAAGGTCTTGTTTACAAAAGTCTTGTTTATAAAGGTCTGGAACAAAGGCTTGTTCTTAACAGTGTATTCATTTAATTAAGCGTTTAACTATAAAATCGCTGAATTTTGCCGAATCTGGTAGAAAAAGTTCATGTAATGCATAAATGATTCCATATTAAAGGACGAGCAACCTACAGTCCAAGGGCGAGCTGTAGTCACAGAACTAATGACATGGAAGCTGCCGTCGTGCAAGCCACAAAATTTCCTGTGAGTAAAGTTTGATTGGGAATCTTCTGATCCATTGTAAGGTATATAGTAGTAAATGCTTAAGAATGCATCAGCAATCACAACGTTCTTTTTTAACGTTTGACAATTTCATTCATTGGGCAGGGAAAAGAAATCAAAATAAACACTACTAATATCCTGGTGTATAGTACTAAAAAGGATACATAGAAACGGCATTAACAAAACAGGTGGCTATTTACTCCTTTTGTTCTTTACAAGCAAACGATAGAATCCCTACTAAACTTCCTGGACAGTTGAGTTTCTTCAATTTTTAATTTTACCTTTGTATAATATCAATACGAGATAACTTGCATGAGATGTCCGAATGATGTAAGATAATCAAGATCAAACAATAGGAGACCTAAATATTTTATGGCTTTATATATTACATGAACATGAATAAATATCTCTAAAACATTATCTATAGTAATGCCTTGTTAAATTTGTTGAATTTCTACTCGGTTTATGTCAAAACTTAGCAAACGTTTGCATGCCATAGAGCAAGCAGCAATATTTATTATGGTTTAAATACTCAATCCCAATTGCGATATAGCCGGGGGGGGCTACAGCCCCCTGTCGGGTAACCCCAGCCCTTCATCTAAGGAGAATGTGAAAATTTGTTGTATAATGAACAAAAAAATTAAACGAAAATTTACCAAGTCAATGTTTGTCGTCTGCATCCTATGTGATTGAAACATACACTAAAAACTTACATCTCAAACGGTATCATAACTTTTTAAGAGGTGTATCTTGTCTGTTTACACGAAAATTGTGTAAATTTACACCTTTGCGGTATTTGCTTTACACTTTGAAACTTAGAGTGTACTTATATTGAAGCCTGGCAGAAGCATTATCGCCTTAACCCAACGACTTAGTGTATCTTTCAAGATATTACAGTTTGTGATTTAATCAAACTTATAGGTAATCCGGTTTCCTTTATCTCAAATATCTGAGATCTGTTTAAGATATTTTTAAGACAAAATAATAATAACACACGAACGCTCATTAACTGTTTTAGCTAGAAGTCAGCATTCCTGGGCATATTTATTAAATGTGCAAGAGTAAATTGAGCAATACTGACATTTAATAAACAGTGTGTGTGTTTTCCATTAAAAACGGCCTTTTTATGCAAGAGTCAAATAAAAGAGCACTGCATCATGTATTAAACACACCTGTAACCCAACCCAGATTTTAACAACATTAAAAAATACCTAATCAAATACCACACTGACATGAGAAAAAAGGATGCCTTTTATTCTTCAAACAAATCTGTAGCTACCCTTCCTTATATCCTTCGTATTACTGTCCATGGACATTAACTATGATGACATCAGTAATTACATAGAATTTAAATATGTCGGAATATCTGTTAGATAAATTGCACGCCTTTTTTGTGTGCTGAAGTCTCGGTTGATTAATATTACTGTGATTTGGTCCAAATCTATTTTTCAAAATACCCTACCAAACAAAACAATTGGTGGAAAAGCATAAAATTACGTATCACTCCTTTCAACATAAATGCACTAAGGGCTATTACTCCCGTGTCACGTTTCCAAGAAACAGTAGTAATCTTTAGATAAGTTAACACTTGAGCAAACAATTCACTATATGTTATAAAGCAATTTAGGTGTCAAATTTTATTCTCTTTGATCATGAAATTCCTTTTATGTCATCTATGTTCAAATGACCAAGTAAATGAATAGCACTGAGCTATAAATTGCTCTTAGTATTCCACATCCAAATTTCGCAGGCCAAGCCATTGCAATCCACTATAACATACCTTCCCCCTCCCCCAACGTTTTATGCCCATAAGCACTTCTGACAATTATAAAAAATTATATGTTTCAAAGATTCTACTGGTAACTCCTGCCCTCCAGCAGTTTTTCATTAAACGATGAGTCTTTCCAAAAAGTGAAGTATCAGCAGTACATCATTGGTTTTTAGGTTGAGATTATAAAATACGTTTGAAAATTGGAATTAATTGCAGAAAAATGTTGCAATATAGCCAAATATTGGCCTTCTTGCCCTCCTTGCAGAATTTGTTTCTTTGTAAGTTTCCTATAATCAGGTCATTCCGTAATATTGCAGCGATTCTACATTTTAGTTGTTTTAACTTTTTGTTTACCAAATTTTACAGCTGCGTTTGCTTACATAAATTCAGCTTTCACATTTCCGCTTGCTTGTATATAGCATAAAACACTAACGTCTAATTGTTATTTCATGAAACATTTCATACTACTGGAATCCTTTTCCCAGGACTTCCGTTATGGATAGCTGGACATGAGCCATTAACGTCATAAACTAGAGCTTCAACAAGAACAACGTCATTCCAGTTCATTCTACGTTTTTTACTCTTTATTTCAGAACCAACAAGACAATAATGCTGTCGCAAAATCTTAAGGCATACCTCAACCATGTCTCCAACACAGGTCTCTGGTGCTCTTCCATATTTAAAGAGAATCAAGGAATTATTAATTTCATAATCGGATTCGTTCACACAATGTTTAGCCTTTATACCAGCCTCTTTGTTTGATAAGCAATAACTGGTTAATATTATCTGAGCTGAATCAAGTGCCGACCTAGGTTCACCCGTATGAACACTTAACTGAGGATCTGATAAAATTTCTTTGATGTCGGTTGATCTAACAGCTGCTTTGGGCTCAAACTTTTTGTTGTACTCATCCAAAGGGGCAGTGCAAATTTTCAGATTCCAATAGTAACGTTCTCTCTCAAAGTGCCATGCATAGTTAAGGACAAGACTTACCGGACATATAAGGCCGTCTGTGCTCATAATTCTATAAACCTCTTCAAAATCGCGAGCTTTATATCGATTTATTAAGTATTTTCTACAATTTGTAAATGTATCACGATATATGTAAATTGGAAAATGTAGCATAAAGTCCCCAACAGCTTGTCGACCAAGAGCAAGAAATATAGCTCTGTCGCATTGTCTTGCAAACTCAGCGTGTAATAGTGTGCAGTCTGTACCAATAACTCTTAAGCGTGTGCCATTAAACATTGAACGATGGGTCACAGACGCTGAAAATGCGGTGTCGGAATCAACCCACGCTATAACCGTATCGTTTGTGTACAGATCATTATAAAAACTGCTCCAAATTTGTCTGTTGTAACCAGTGTCTCGTTTAGGCCATGGCATTTTTAAGAGTGTTTCATGACCATTAGGTAAAGCTTCATACACAATTATTAAATTACGGTGAGGGAAATATTTCACAAAATGATCTTTCATAATTGCTGCTAGTTTATGATCGAGTTCAGACTCTTCGTCCAATACCACCACAAGGCTACCGTATGACGGGGGCCAAAACAACACCATTGTCCTTAAAAAATCGCAATAAAATCGTTCTATATGCATCCCTGTTAATCTTATGAACAAACTGACAAATGGCAGTTTGTTAGATTCAACGTTACTAATTCTCAAAGGACTGCTTTTTGAATGCTCCAAATCTTGCTTACTTGTCTCAAGACGAATAATAAATAAAATGCACATGGCACTTGTGGCAGATAAGATGACAATCAACTTCAAGTAATTTTTCATTGTTATGAGCCACCACATAATGATAACTAAAAAATAAAAAACAAACTACATATTTTAATAAGAAAACTTCGGATCTTAAATGTTGGACATTAGACAAGACCAGGAGTGGCGCCAGGGGGGGGGGCTACAGCCCCCTGTCGGGAATCCTACCCCCACTCCTCGTCGGGGATAATTTGACTATTTATCGGGGAATGAATAACGAAAAAATGTAATTTCCAATGTCGATTATCGCCGTTTGTTTAAAGTAATGTTAGCACTCAGCATCGGCAATAATCTTTATACACGCCAGTTATCCTATATTAAATTTAAAAAAATAATAAAGTTACTCTGAAATACTTATTTTTAAATGTTCATTAGAAAACAGATATGCAAATGCGACATGAGATATATTTGCATATGCAATCGCCACAACGCTTGCCCGCTCTTAGTTTTCTGTCAGGTATTTTACAACTGGACTTTCCAATTTTGAAAGGAAATTCTTTGTAAAAACTAAAAAAATCAGCTGTTTCAGTTTCGAACCAGCAATGAGCATTAGATTCTGGCAGTTTTACATGTATTACGGCTATTGATTTTCATAGATCACCATCAAGTATCCGGACAGCTAATGACCTTAGGAATTCATGGTGGTCGAGAGAGCAAACTGGATTTGGTTACCGTAGTGAACATGTTCAACGCTAGCTTTCCCAAGTTGTAGAATTGTTCTCTGAACATCAAACAATTAAATGGAATGATTCACCGTTATATCTTTTTTGTGCATTATTATATCTTACTCGTTATTTGTACACAAGTTATATCTTACTTGTGCATTATTAATATTATCTCTTAGGATATATATAAATTATATTTATATATTATTTCCTAGTACACCACTGATTCATTATATACATACAGTCAAAAAGAACTGCTCACGAGCAAAATAGTTTAACAGGGTAACATTGAGATAAAGTGCCAAAACATAAGATTAAAGTTAAACAAGAAAAAAAAATAGTATAATAGTATCTCTAATTACTAATGTATCCTCATCTTACTTTGATTACAGCTTTGTATATAGGTTAAAGAAGATGTTCAATATGTTTATAAAGCTTTGAGAAAAATAAAAAATTTTTTATTATTACTATCCAACATTACTAGAAAACTCAGGGCACTCTTTTTACTTACTGTATAGCTTTATTATAGCCAATCATATGTATATCACTGGATTGAATGCACGACTAGCAGGGCTGTTAGTACAAAAGTGATTGGTGGGGATATTCATAACTTCAGTTGTGTCAGACTGACTTCTTTTAATAGTAACCTTCTTTTAAAAAAATCAATTGGGCACAAACGAATATATGTAAAAACAACCCATATCCCAAGCTAGCGTTCTAGTTGCAGCTCTCACAACTAGTCAAAAACATGCTATTTCCAAAACAAACTGTTGTTTCAACGATTTAGTTAAAACACTGTAGTGTATGACTTTGTCATATAGATTATAAGATATAACGGATATTAAATTGATGTAAAATAGTATAGTCATGTTAAGAGAACACTTCCTCACCGCAATGCGTCATTGCGGCAGGAATTAGGTAGAAACGGAATGGCAAAGTTGCGCGTCATATGTAAACGCCCAAAAATTCCGTATCGCGAAGAACCAACGCTTGGAACGTAAAATCGTGCACAACACTGTAAATATCTTATTGAAGTGTTAAAATTGTATATTCAAAATACAGTCCTATCGTTTGTGTGAAGTTTTAGAACAATGAACAAGCACTTCGCGCAGATTGTGCGAAACGTGGTCCTTCGAGCCGGATCTAGTAGCAGAATTCAAGAAGAACACAGAAATAGGATACAAGGTTGTTCACGATGTCAGAGCTGACAAGAAAGCGACAGTCGAGGAGTGGGCACAAATCGTACGCCACAAAAGTTGTGAACAAAGTGAGAAGTATGGTAAACGATAATGCGCCATTAAGGAAAGTCGAACTGGAATAAATGCGGCTTGTACTCGTACAGAAATTAGATACAATTTCAAAGTTGGACGATGAGATTCAGAGGTTGTTAATAAAAGATGAAGATATTGCGGCAGATATTGACGGCTCATCGGAATACGGCTGCGAAGTTTTGGGCGCGTTGGCCGAAATCAACGGAGCGCTGAGCACGATAGAGAAAACAAGCGAAATGAGGAACTCGCCAACACATCGGCAAGTACGGTATCCAGTGGTGACTCTTCACGTACTCAACACGTACGCAACTTCTTCGTAAGTGTAAAAGATGTTTTGTTTGTCTAAAGAAAGGTAATTTAGCAAATGATTGTCGTGCACGTACTAAATGTATTGTATGTGGGGAGGGTCATCATGTGTCTATATGTGACATAGGAAAGAAGGATGAGAAACAGAGTGGTAGAGCAGAGAAAACAGATCAGGTAAATGTGAGTAACGTGCATGTGTGTACAAAGACTAGGGTAGCCTTGCAGACTGCACAAGGAATTCTTGTAGGTCAGAGTAGGAAGAGAGTGCGAGTGCTTTTTGACTCGGGAAGTCAGAAGTCTTTCGTGACAAACAGGGCAAAACAAAATGCGAAACTTAATGTAGCAAGGCGGGAATGGCTAGAGGTCAACACTTTTGGTGGTGGAACAAATGAAGGTAAGATGACAGAGGTCGTCAATTGCGAGGTCGCATCAGTTAAGGGTAATTGCCATATTCGTTTAGAGGCATTAGTAGTTCTACTTATTTGTACGGTAAAAAATGAGCATATTGAGGTGGATAAGGAGCAGTATTCTCATTTGAAAAACTTGTTTTTGTCAGATGTAAGTTTTAAGTAGGAGATGTTGGAAGTGGATGTTTTGATAGGAGCAGATAACCTTTGGATTTTTCAGAAAGGAGAAGTAATTAGGGGCAAAAAGGATGAGCCAGTTGCGATTGACACTTGTTTAGGATGGGTTGCATGTAAGCGGTCCACCGAAAGGGAGCTCGAAAATCAAAATGCACATGTTAATTTAGTTTCGCAGACTGCAACTTAGAATAAAAACAGCATAAACAGGCAGGTGAACAAGTTGTTGGATTTAGAAACACTTGGGGTCAGGGAAACTGACGATGTGCACGAAGCCTTGTTAGATAAAATTGAGTTTAATGGGCATAAGTACTCTGTTAAATTGCCGTGGAAGCAAGGTTATGGGCATTTACCAAGTAACTATGCCAATAGTTTAGCACGCATGAAAGGGCAAATTAAGTGTTTGTCAAATGAGCATGATTTGATAAAGAAATATGATAAAATTATTAGGGATCAACTAAAAATGGGAGTCATTGAAAGGGTTGACTAGTCAGAACCTGGGATGAATGTTCATTATCTTCCCCATCGAGCGGTGGTACGTAAAGAAGCCAAAACAACTAAGCTAAGAATAGTGTATGACGCATCATCAAAGGAGGGTAAGAAAGGGACTTCCTTGAATGACTGTCTTCATGTAGGACCATCATTAACACCGTTGTTGTTTGACTTATCAATCAGATTTAGGGAGAACAGAGTGGCCTTGGTAGGAGACATAGAGAAAGCATTTTTGAACATAGAAGTAGACAAAGCAGACAGGGACTATTTAAGATTTCTGTGGGTTAGAGATGCGACTAATGCTAATTTAGAGGTTGTGTTTACAGGTTTTGCAGGGTAGTGTTTGGATTAAATGCTTCGCCATTTTTACTCGACGCCACGCTTAGGCATCACATAGCGCAATTTGCAGAATCACATCCAGTGCTTGCTCAAAAATTGAATGAAGGATTTTACGTTGATGACTTAGTTTCGGGGGGCAAAAGCGCACACGAAACGATCGATTTATATGAAAAGGCGAAATTTAGAATGTCTCAAGGCGGTTTTAAGTAAGGAAATAGATGACAAATGACGGAAACGTGCGAGCGCATATAGAACACCGTGAATGCGTGAACAATGTCGTGCAGGCGACAGATACAGACGATGAAACATTCACACAATGGAGTTTGGGAATCCAAAATAACGATGATTACGCAAAAGTTTTAGGTATAAGCTGGGATTGCGACAATGATCTGTTCATGTTCGACCTGCAATAGTTTGTAGGAGACTTGGGTGACAAGAAGCTAACTAAACGAAACCTGCTGAGCGCAGTAGCAAAGATATTTCATCCGCTAGGATTAATTAGCTGCGTAATAGTTTTGACGAAAATCTTGTTTTAGCAGCTGTGCGTAGAAAAGATTGATTGGGATGACGAGATAAGCAGAAATTACGCCGGTCTATACACCGAATGGATTGAAGATCTAAACCGTGTTAAGACTATTAAGCTAAGTAGATGCATCTATAGTGGTGTGAAGGGCAAAATTCAATCTTGTGAACTTCACGGGTTTGGTGATGCAAGCGAGAAAGCGTATTGCGCGCTAGTGTATTTTGTCTGCCGCACGAGTGTTGGAGTCTTTGTGAAATTGTTAACAGCAAGAACTAGAGTTGCGCCGCTGAACTAATGTCCGCGCTGACGTTAGCAAAGTTAATGGAATCTGTGCAGAAAGCTTTAGTAGGCCAAGTAGGGAAAATAGAAGCAAGATACTGGTTAGATAGTATTACAATATTATATTGGATTCAGAATCGCGGTGAGTGGAAACAATTTGTTAGACATAGAGTAAATGAAATCTTAGCAATAACACAGAAGGAGAAGTGGGGAAATTGTCCAGGAATGGAGAATCCCGCTGATTTAAGAAGCAGGGGAGTGTTTGCGTCAAAGATACGTGAGCAATCACTTTGATGGACAGGACCAAGGTGGCTGAGTAGCGTAGAAAGAGAATGGCCGCAATCAGAGGTAGGCGTAACTGAGGAGAGTAAAGAAGAAGAAAAGCGAACGGCACTATTAGTAGTAGATACTAACGAAGAAATAGGTATTCAGAACATGATCTCTATAGAGAGGTACAGTAGGGTTGAGAAGTTATTCCGGGTAACGGCATGGGTCACACGATTTGTCAGGAATTTGATCGCTAGGATCAAAGGGAAACATGAAGATTTAACCTTCACGGAATTAGGGAGTCAGGAGATAAATAAAGCAGAAAAACTTTGGTTGAAGGCTTCACAACAAAGGCTAAAGAAGGAGGATAAGTTCAAGCAGTTAGAGGTACAACTCAAGGTAGTAGAAGATGAGGGGTTACTAAAATGTCAGGGTAGGCTAGCAGAATCAGACTTGGAAGAGGAAACGAAGTTTCCAATCTTATTACCAAAGGAAGGTAGATTGACGGAATTAATAGTTGAGCATTGCCACAAAAAGTTACATCATAGCGGAGATAAGGCAACTTTAGCAGAGATAAGGTCAAGGTTCTGGATTCCACAAGTTAGACAGAAGGTAAAATCAGTTGTCCATGCCAGGCGAAAGGTCTGGCTAAAAGGGGTCTGATGGGGGTTACTGTAAAAAACGGTATCAGTATTTGAGTAAGAAAAAAATGCATTTCCTGAATAGGTGGCGTAAAGAGTATTTGGTTGGTTTAAGACAGTTTCATAAGCAGGACAAGGACAATGCTGGTAGGGTAGTAGAGAAGGGAGATGTCGTGACTGTTTATGAGGATAATGTCAAAAGAGGAAATTGGAAGACAGGTGTAATAGAGGAGTTGTTTTTAGGGAGAGATGGGGTGGTCAGAGGCGCTAAGGTCAGGCTAATTAAGAACGGTAAAGTCATTCGCCTCAATCGTCCCGTCCAAAAGCTCTTTCCTACGGAGTTAAAGCACGACGAAAGGGAATGTGAGAGGAAAGAGAATGAAAAAGAGCTGAGAAGAAGGGAGGCAGAACATGAGGGTAGACGCAAGAGAGCCGCTGCTCTTGATTCTGTATGGAAGACACAGAGTATGCTTGATTGGTGGGACAAATCAGGGTGGGGAGTGTGTTGTAAATTGTCATGTCAAATTATGTAGTGTATGACTGTGTCATATTATAGATTATAAGATATAACGGATATTATCTTGATGTAAAATAGTATAGTCATCTTCGGGAGTTCGGAAAAGTTGACGTTATTGGTGTATGAACTGGTCATACAAAGTTGATGAATTAGAGTCGTATCGCAGAAGGCAATAAATTTCAAAAACGCAGTTCTACGATTGACGGTTGTCCGTAATCTTAACAAGATCAAATTTAATCATTCCGTATCGCAAAGAACCAACGCTTGGAACGTAAAATCAGGGGCGGATCTAGAGTATGTCAAATCCGTCGCGCGACTGATGTTTGAAATTCAAAAATTACCTATTCATATTAATTAAAAATTCATTAATTATTCTTACTTTATTATCGCATTTACTTCGTGATAAAAATCCAGCTTTATTTATTATTGAAAACTAATGACTAATCCAATGAATATCTCGTTGGTAAACAGATCAGTTGAATTTTAATCCACCTGAAATAACCGACTGATAAGCGGGGTGGCTTGACTGGTTCGACTGATAAAGGAGTCTATGAACGCCAAAAACGCTTATTTTATTGGTCAATGGCCAGATCAGTGAACAGTCTGGAATGGTCTCGACCGATAAGAGGGGTGGCCGGATGTATAAGCGAGTCCAATTGCTATCTTACAATTGGTTCATTTGAATTTTTGTTTTATTGTGATTGGTTTGACCGATTTTGACTGATAGCCAACTGAACTAACACAGTCAAGCTCACTGTCTGAATTAAATGTTTGATTGTTTCACAGTAATTTTTATAAGCATGATAGAAACTAAACTACAATCAGATGGAATTTATGGAAATCTTTTACAAATTCATATATTGGCATGAATGCTGCTGTCAAAACTGTGAATTTTTTCAAGAGGGTGAAAAATTTATGGATGAATTGTAAATGCTTGGCAAAAACGATGTCGCGAGCGACATTTCAGTCATTGATGTTCAAAAGCAAGCCAACTTTGTTTTGAGTTTTATCAGCAGAAATTTACATCAAAAATCGTAAATAAAGTACAACTGAAGTGTATGCATGAATGTAAAATATCAAACTCAATTTATGCGTGCGTGTGATGCGATTTATGTCAATATGGCGTATGGTAAAGCAGATTGATGCTTTTAAAATTGGTGTTGCCGAAGGACTTTTACCTATGATTTCTTTAGTGCTTGGGGAATCGTGACCGTTATATGGCAGCGAAATCCTACATTCCTGCAAATATATTTCAATGGACAAAAAATCTGTAGCCATAAGGCGCCATACTATTATTTATTTTATCATAAACAAATGTTTGGGGCTTTTCAGTTTATGATCATTGATCAATTAATCATTGGACAGTTATACTACATATTGTTTAAGATTTGAGAAAACTAACATTGATTACATGAGAAGCTGTTTACTATAACCTGTGATTTTGAGTCTTCTGATCCATGAAGCTTTTTATTTTGACAATTTGACTGGAATGGTATTAAACCTAAGTATTTCACATACATGAAATGTTGTCCCATGTCACATATTGTCCTCTTTTCTAGCTGAACACCTCATGTAGAGATATAAAGGTGTGTTAATCTAAGGCTCATACCAGATTGTTTGCCATAAATTCCAAAGGGCTATTGATGTATGAAAAGCATTTTCTATAAAGTAAAAATGTCTTCCTATGTATGCAGATAAACCTTGAATTTTGGCAAAACAGCAAAGTATTTTTCACGATCACTAGGTAATTTTTCTGATGATCATTATAATTTCTAAACTAAATTATTTCAGATTTACATTTAAACGAGCTTTGATCATATGAAAAGATATTTATCGTAACCAGTAAGCATGACACATGAACCAATTTTAACATTCATGTAATTAAATGATTAAAGACATGTTGGTTACATTCTGTTTGTATATCCAAATACAATGCTACTAGTGATTGCTATATAGCACACCTTGCAAAAGATAATAGTCTAGTGAAATGCCTAATAAACATTTATGGCATTAAGCTGTCCTTAACTGCAAATTTTCACTCTAATAATTTTCGCTTAATCTTTGGCAGAAAAAAATTTTGAGTTTTTTCTCAAAAGGTGAATTTGCTAGCACTGATATGGAGATGGATAAAGGGTTACAATAAACTTGCATGGTTTGAAGTCTGAGCTTTTCTATATCTATGAACTGTCACTTGTAGTACCAAATTTCTAACTTAACTCATTACATAGAGGTTTCAATTGGGGTCTCTAGGGGGTCTATGCCTGACAACTTGGTAGAAATTTTTAAAGACTATATCTGTTTTTGAATAGTATTATTGTAAAATAAATTTTACGTTCCTAGACATGCTAATGAGCCATATATTTGGCATGATAACGAGCCTAAATATTTGGCAAAACATTCAAGTATTGTTCACTTCATTTTTTTTGAAAAAAACGTAAGCAAAATGAGTTGTATTTACGCAAAAACGATGCCCACAAAATACATTTTGTATTGCTCTAAAACGCTGAAAATGGCATTTTAAAGATTCTGAAATTCAAAATTTCTCAGGGGAAAATGCCTCAGACCCCCAATTGCGGAGCGTCTCCGACGTTTTATGACCGATTTTTGAAAAATCCTAGATTCGCCCCTGCGTAAAATCGTGCACAACACTGCAAATATCTTATTGAAGTGTTAAAATTATATATTCAAAATACAGTCCCATCGTTTGTGTGAAGTTTTAGAACAGTGAACCAGCACTTCGCGCAGATTGTGCGAAAATAATTTTGTCTGAAAAAAAAGGATTTGCATGAAGTCGCATGGTCACATCAGCCTAGTAAGTCAGCCCCCCCCCATCGGGGACTTTAGCCGCTCCGTCAGGTAATTTCTTGTGCCACCCCTGGACAAGACATTGATAACAAAACATTAAGCACATGAGCTGCCGTTCCTGTTTCCCTTTATTAACTTGCTTTATTTCTTAACAAATGGCTTTCTATAATATTTTCGGAGTATTTGATCGCTTGCATGACAGCGGAGACATTATTATTTTAAATTAAATAACCGCGACAAATGAAATACTGCCGGTGACGTTCAAAATGTGATTAAGAATAAACTTGAAAGGAGCGAAGTAGCTCTTTGGGGAATGAAGGTTTCTATAAAACATTTGTCAGAACCATCACCTACATTAATGTACTAAAACATTTAATACATCTAGTATTATTGCATGCCCTTGACAAGGATGGTCCGAAAGCCCGTTGTCTCATTAGTCAACTTAGAAATAGAAAAATTATCAATTTCACCAACGAATTTCTCAAAAACTAAGGTTCTATCCCAATTTTTATTGGTTGTCACTATTGCACAAAGGAAAAACTTTTTTGGTCGTTTTAAATCATTAGCGGATCTAGCGTTCATCAAAATCGCATACGTATTCTCAACTTGATACTCAAAACACCTTCAAAATGACACCACACTGTAGATAATATAAACTAAGTCTAAATGATCCTGAAATTGCAGCAGTATACTTATTTAGATTATTTGCTGCCGTCAGCAAAGAAAGTCAATTGAGTGACCCTATTGTATGTTCACTATATTGTGACGACACATTTGGCTTTGAATTTTAAAAGAATTTAATTTTAGCAATAAATGTTGCAGTCAAATGATGGAAGTTGCTTATTTTGACGTATCCTAAAAGACCTGTAACTGGAAACAAGTATTCATACTGATTGTAGCTTCTGCTCATGGCAAATTTTAAGCACGAAATTTTTTTAATTGCATTTGCGTCACCTTGTGGATTAATCATTCCTAAATCATTCAAGTTCTATATGTCTTCTAATTTCAAAGACGAGCTGTTTTGTTAAACACCAAGTAGTATTTTATTGTATTTCTATTGCATTTAGAGCTCTTTGCTGGTCAATTACTGCTTGCCTAAAAGTTTAACTCTCAAATGAAATTAAGTGTTAAAAAGTGCAAATGATAATTTTTACTATGTGTTTATTCAAGCTCCATTTTTCAAGTTACTAAATTAAATACGTTTCGAAATAACAAGTTATTTGTAATTCATAGACACGTTTTTACATGGTACTGTATTATAGGTTGTTAACTAGAAGTATCAGAATATGTTTTGTGATTTCAATCCCATTCAATGTGATAGTAATATACATTTTCACATTCAATGCATTCACATTCCATGTTCTCTTTAATTGCCACTTGCTCTTTATCGTCTATACACATCAACCTCATCTTAACACGCAGGGAGTTCAGTAAACGAAATTCCAAAGCAAAACTCTTAAAAACATTGAAATCTAAACATCGATTGGAATGGCAAATGGTCTATTGTTAGCAACAACTTAAGCTGCAATTGGTGCAATATTTTAGAAATCTATATATTTCTGATAATTTACTTGAGCAAAGTGACGTTAATATCTATTGTGACATAGACATATTGTGACATCTTCAAATATTCAGACTATATTGTTGCAAGAGTGACTTGGTCAGGGGTAGAATTCTACCTTTCTACATTTGCTATGTCCCTTAGCATTCTTCAGCTTTCATTTACAACCTTCATCGACCTTAAAACACCAGACAGAATACCTTTTTACTTCGAGCAAGCGCTTTGTCTTATTCGTGACTTGTTTGAAATTTTTGATTTATGAAGCAGTTGTCAAGTACTTTCTTTGGCGTTGATATACATATGACCAAACACAAAGCTCTTTAATGACAAACATGTTATGTATGACAACGGAGAATTGTATTTTTTCATTTCAGTTCTTTCTCTTGGGTGGTGGGTGAAAATTCCAGGTTCACGGACAGATTGGTAGTTGCTGGTAAATTTCAGCCAAGAAGCTTGCATTAGTGAAAATATTATGTATGCATTGTAAGACAAAAGAATCTTGTAATTTTTATGGCATACTTTGATGATTGTTTGAATATCAAACCCTTTGCTTCTCAGCAACAAACGTAATTTGATTGGAGTGCAAAAAATATTTTGAGGCTGTTACAAGATCCGGCCTAACCGAGTTTGAGCGAGGCATGAAAGGATTGTAGCTGTTTGTTAAGTGTCACAAGACGGGCACAAGTCATTCCTGTTGTAATTCTCAAATTACGCCAAATTAGTCGTGTTCATTGTAAAGTCAGAATAATGTGAAAATGCTGAAGATGATTTATCTGATAAGTATTTCGTTTTGCTTCAATTAGCAGGTCATATTCATGTTGTTGTTGCAATCTAAAAAAGCAACTTTCCATTGATTTGTACTCTTTGATACCTAAGGTTACATACATGATAGGTTTTTGCGACTGAAATATTATCATCCTTCACAATGCAACCTTCACTTATTTGATAGCTTCAAATATTTGAAATAATTTAAATAAATTGGAAATTTTGCTTTGAAAATTTTCTCCTGTTTATCACAAATCGAACGTTAACTACAAGATAACACTGTCTGTACTATCCTTTTTCATCTATTATTGATTTATACATTTTAATATCGTTGCCTGATAAAAGACACGCGTGTGAAATGAAGATCCTACGAACGCTCAACTAAATTGTAGCAATGAAAGTTAAGTCTTCTTACCTTTAATTTAATTCGAATCTCTCTGATTGTAATAGAGTAATAGTAGAAGTACCAACCTCTTTTAAGCAAGTTTACTTCTGGTCGGAGAATCCTTGCTTAGAACTTATAGATATAGCAGTTTAAAATGTACTTCAAGCGATGAATAATAGTTTCACTTCGTTCTGAACGGACTGCTTTACCTTTTACAGGACCATTAACTACGTTTAACTATTAATTTCATTGCTTGTATTGCTCAGAGCAATTTTTCAATTATCAACCCGTTATTTTCTAATCCATAGAAACAGTGTGTAAATGGTTATAACCTCAAAATTAATATTGGATTGATGTGTTGTAAGACAACGAAAACCTTTTTGTAAGTTTGCACTTCGCATGCGCTGCTAACCACTATGCTGTACTGAAAATGTTTCCGAGTGTCGTTTTCTCGGGAATAGTCACAAATACGAACGATGATGAAAAAAAACGTTTTGTTCTTTCATTGCCTGTTGGCCTCTTATGCTCCTCTGATTCCTACGCTGCTGCCAACGTCCATTAAAAAGAACTATTTAAATGCAATTCGAATTACCTTATTTTGTGCCTACACAAGTTAAGACACTTGGAAATAAAGACACGTGGAAATAAGTATCTTAATAAATAGGAAAAGGTAAAAGAAAATTAAAATATTTAGAAATAATGACATGTTTTCTAAAAGACTGAAATAATTTTGAAGCCAAATCAACAGGTGCAACTGAAATCTAATAATTGGTAAGTGGTTGAGACAGAATAAAAGCAAGTTTCTTCAGAAATATGAAGATTCTACATTTTTGACAAACCTGGCTTGTACAGTTGTATTTTCAAAAAATGAAAAGACGTTAATTACATGACAGCGATGCATTTTATACTACTGGAATACTTTTCTCAGGACTTCCGTTGTAGATAGCTGGACATGAGCCATTAACGTCATAAACAAGAGCTTCAACAAGAACAACGTCATTCCAGTTCATTCTACGTTTTTTACTCTTTATTTCAGAACCAACAAGACAATAATGCTTTTGCAAAATCTTAAGGCATACCTTAAATATGTTTCCAACACAGTCTCCGGTGCTCATCCAACTTTAGTTAAGAGTAATCAGGAATTTTTACGACTAGATATGTGAAAGTATCGACATCCTTCAATTATTCACTACACTAGTCCTCAGTGGCATAGCTTTGTTCTTTTTACTGAAATAGCTGACTTCCTTACCTTGTTTATCAATGAGCACATGACATAACCACTGATCTGATAATAGACTGGATATAGCTTCTACAGGTTGCAAAAGTGAAGCCTAGATATATATGCAAAATTCACTTCCGGTTACCACGGCGAAATACAAATTACTATAGAAATGTATGGCGGATAACGTTTACAAACATGGATTTTCGAATATTTAAGACCTTTCGCGACTCCTTACTAACCTCAAGTATTAGTCATGGATAAAACAGGTTATGCGAATCGATTTGACATCAAAATGATTCCGATAGCTGTAAAATATCGACGTTAGTGGTGATTTAAATGTTGTACATGCGAGAATGTATTTTGTTCCATCGTTGCCAATGCAAGATAGTTCACTGCTCGCTTTCCAATTTCTGAGGCAGTTATGATCTAGTATACGTTTCAGTTCTTTAGAAATGAGGTGAGTTACTTTTTTTATCATTCTTTCTTTATGTTGAGAGATTGTTGACATTTTATTTTTGCTGTAACTTCATTTTTCATGAGCAAAGTACTACTGATGCTTAAATAAGACAAGTCTATTTAGTTTCTTTCGCACTTTATCTTTAGTTTCCATTTCTGTGGTTGTTTTTCTCAAATGGTATAGTCGCGCTTTGCGCTTGATTATTCAAAGAAGTATGATTTTCATTGACATTAAATTCTAACAAATGCGTTCTACACACATTAGGACACTTTAGTATACTGCTTTTGAAACATCAAGGTAATGTAGCCAGCCAGGTATGAATTTGCAGGCCCTCTTTATAATCATCTTGGTTTTGGTTTGTCCCTTAAGTTAATTTAAATTATCAACAGCAACATATGACTGTGTCCACGGTTTATAATTATAAGTGTGTCCAATTGTATCCAGTATATCAGTTTCACATTGTCTTGTGCTAATTCCTTTACAGCCATGAATACTGCTTCTCAGCAACAGTTTATTGTCTACAGCTGTAAATTGGTCAACTGTTGGATTGTTGAAGTCACACTTTACAAGTGGAATAAAGCTCTTGTCATTCTTATTACTACAAGACTCAAGACTGATGATCAAACTGTTGCTGAAAAGGATTGTAATGTCAACTGCAATTCATATTCATACCATCCCTAACTACATTCATATCTTAAGAATAATTTTAATGTTTTTGGAAAAATATTTAAGGCATTAATATTACATTCATACTAACTACTGGAATTTGCTTAGCACTTAGAAGAGGAAAATAAAATTTAGAGCAAAAAATGAGATTTTAATTTATATTATTTCTGAGGAAGATGCACGAATGAAATATATTTTGACTTATAAATTTAGCCAAGATCATTTAGAGCTTTTCTTTGGAGCAATTTGGTCCTCAGGAGGCTTGAACAACAACCAACAGCTGAACAATTTACGAAGTCCTGCATACAAGAGACTTTTGATGAGAAGCAGTATCCATGGTTGCAATGGCAACTGCACCAGACAAGATGAAACTAACATATTGGAAGTAATTGGGGACACCTATAAAATGCCAAACAAAGAATCAAGTATGACAATTGATGATGCTGCTCTCATCCAAAAGTATGATTTACAAGGGACAATCACAACAGAGATGAGGATGAAGATTATAGTGATGCACCAAGCTTTTCCACTGTATCTGAATTTAAAAAGGCGGCAATATCGTACATGGCTGGCTATGTTGCCCAGATGGTGCAAAAGAAAATAAACTGTCCTGTTTGTCATGAAGCAGTCGGTTCAAGAAACTACAAAAATGAGTCTGCTTTCCTGACTTTAAAAGACAGGGGTAACTTGTTTAAGCCAACAGCAAGTGTAATTGTAATATGCAATGAAACAGAGAGGTGCTTTCAGAGAATGTTGGCAGCTACAGATGGAAATTTACCCCAAGGGAAAGGAATTCCTGATGCTATTGCTTTGTCTGTAGTAAATGGTATAGATTTCAGGACCACATTCAAGGATCTCGATGCACACATGTTGGATACTACTGTTCACGAAAATCATATTTACTCATTAATTAAGACCATATCTAAATGCTACAGCAAGGTGCGACTATACCATTTGGGAAAAACAACCACAGAAATGGAAACTAAAGATAAAGTGCGAAAGAAACTAAATAGACTTGTCTTGTTTAAGCATCAGTAGTACTTTGCTCATGAAAAAATGAAGTTACAGCAAAAATAAAATGTCAACAATCTCTCAACATAAAGAAAGAATGATAAAAAAAGTAACTCACCTCATTTCTAAAGAACTGAAACGTATACTAGATCATAACTGCCTCAGAAATTGGAAAGCGAGCAGTGAACTATCTTGCATTGGCAACGATGGGACAAAATACATTCTCGCATGTACAACATTTAAATCACCACTAACGTCGATATTTTACAGCTATCGGAATCATTTTGATGTCAAATCGATTCGCATAACCTGTTTTATCCATGACTAATACTTGAGGTTAGTAAGGAGTCGCGAAAGGTCTTAAATATTCGAAAATCCATGTTTGTAAACGTTATCCGCCATACATTTCTATAGTAATTTGTATCTCGCCGTGGTAACCGGAAGTGAATTTTGCATATATAATTAGGCTTCACTTTTGCTACCTGTAGAAGCTATATCCAGTCTATTATCAGATCAGTGGACATAACTTATATATATTGACGTATGTATATGATAAATGTGCTGCAGTAATTTATTTTGACGTACTCTAAATCCGCCACTGGACAGTACGAACAATTTGAGAAGTGGCTTGCTTCGTGTAGTATCTCAACGCAAAATACACCTCATTCATACACTTATGAAAATCCTCCAGGAAGCTTTAAATGCCCAACCTGCCATAAACCTGTACGTGTGGAAACCAAACTCGTCATCCAGATATGTATGCTGTTATAATATGCAAACATTCTAACTGACTCCATCCAAATCCCCCACCAAAGAAAATATGTATGAAATAGAAAACATTTTCCGTGTTTCCATGAAACAGGCAGAAAAATCTTCGAAACCGAGAAATATCGTAACAAGCACGACTAAGAAACTCTAGTGTTTCAAAGAAATTTCAAGTTTCTCCTAAAAATTTCACAGGTGTTTCTTTAACTCAGTGGAATCGAGTGAAGTGTTCTATTTTCTTTTCTAATTTGGCGTTTTAGAAACAGTATTAAAATAATAAATGAATTGATTTAAGTGTTTAAACTTTGGCATTATGTGGTATACCCGTGCAAGCTACGCAACCTGCGAGACTTATGCCGCACGGAAAATCACGTTGAAAAGTCACGTGTTTTTCGAGCATTCAACCAATTAGCGCCTGTATTTCTATAAGGTTTTTATTGAGCGAAATAAAATACTTATAATGAGTTACTCATGACGAAATACCCTAAAAAGTTATTTTGAATATAATGAATAATGATGTTAAAAATAACTGGAATGTTACATGCACTGGGAAATCTGGGTTCTTATATGTACTAAAACTAAATGAAAACCTTACCGTCTTTTTGTTCTAGCCTCTCTCCGGCGACACTCCTGAACGCACATGCACTGGAGTGTTGGTATATAATCCATGACAGTGTTTCGACAATGGAGAAAGCTGTGTTCAGAAAGATAGGTAGACACATCGCATGCTATTTGATGTTGTTTCTTGCTTTTCCTGCAAGAGTAAAAGAAATACAAAAGAATGAAGAAGAATTTACACTCGCCACGAAGGGAAAAAATTACAAATATAATATCATTACAAGCTGGAAAGCAATGTATTAAAAATGTGTTATCAGATAACAGGATATTAAATGTATAATGACACTCACTGGATAAAAGATAGTAAAAAGATCACAATACATTTTTCAAGACAGCGGCCATAAAATCAACTTTTAAAACCCTTGCGTTGTTGACAGGGTTAGTGCAGAATTAGAAAAAGTGAAAGAACCCAAAATTAAGTCATGGCATACTGGCCGATGTTGATTAAAAAGTTCGATGACAGTATCAAAGAAAACACTTAAATAATTCTCTCATATTACACTTTGTCTTGATTTGTATATTTGTAGTGCTACAGCTCTTGCAGGCGTACACAGACGCCATGGCAAAGTTTTCTAAAGCCAAAGTCAAAATTTTACATCGTGGAATTTATCGCGATTTATTTTTATGATTAAAAATTTTGCACATATTAAAAACAATAAATTTTGTTAATGCATAGAATACAGCACTATTTACAAAAAAATAGATCCAATAGAAATTGAATTATGTTATTTATAATTTGATTCCTTTGTGGATAATGTTCGTGCCAAAAGCAAGGGAAACTAAACAAAACAAAGGTTTTGTTTATAAAGGTCAAAGAGTCAAGTCCATAAAAGTTTTGTCTATAAAAGTCTTGTATATAAAGGTCTGGAACAAAGGTCTTGTTTATAACAGTGTATTCACTTAATTAAGCGTTGTATTCACTTAATTAAGCACTATAAAACGGCAGAATTTTGCCATATCAGGTAGGAAAAGTTCATGGATTGCATGAACGTTTCCATATTAAAAGACGAGCTATATACAGTCCAATGGCGAGCTGTAATCACAAAACTAATGACATGGAAGCTGCCGTCTGGCAAGCCACAAAATTCCCTGTGAGTAAAGTTTGATTGGGAATCTTCTGATCCATTGTAAGGTATATAGTAGTAAATGCTTAAGAATGCATCAGCAAACACAACGTTCTTTTTTAACGCCTGACAATTTCATTCATTGGGCAGGGAAAAGAAATCGAAATGAACACTACTAAAATCCTGCTATAAAGGATACATAGAAACGGCATTAACAAAACAGGTGGCTATTTACTCCTTTTGTTCTTTACCTGTAAACGATAGAATCCCTACTAAACTTCCTGGACAGGTGAGTTTCTTCAATTTTTAATTTTACCTTTGTATAATATCAATACGAGATAACTTGCATGAGATGTCCGAATGATGTAAGATAATCAAGATCAACAATATGAGACCTAAATAGTTCATGGCTTTATATATTACATCAACATAAATAAATATCTCTAAAATATTACGTATAGTAATGCCTTGTTAAATTTGTTGAATTTCTACTCGGTTTATGTCAAAACGTGGCAAACGTTTTCATGCCATAGAACAAGCAGCAATATTTATTATAGTTTAAATACTCACTCCCAAATGCGATATAGCCGGGGGGGCTACAGCCTCCTGTCGTGTAACCCCAGCCCTTCATCGAAGGAGAATGTGAAAATTTGTTGTAGAATGAACAAAAAATGAAACGAAAATTTACCAAGTCAATGTTTGTCGTCTGCATCCTATGTGGTCGATACATACACTAAAAAATTACAAAAAACGGTATTATAATTCTTTAAGAGGTGTATCTTGTCTGTTTACACGAAAATTGTGTAAATTTACACCTTTGCGGTATTTGCTTTACACTTTGAAACTTAGAGTGTACTTATATTGAAGCCTGGCAGAAGCATTATCGCCTTAACCCAACGACTCAGTGTATCTTTCAAGATATTACGTATTGTGATTTAATCAAACTTATAGGTAATCCGCTTTCCTTTATCTCAAATATCTGAGATCTGTTTAAGATATTTTTAAGACAAAATAATAATAACACACGAACGCTCATTAACTGTTTTAGCTAGAAGTCAGCATTCCTGGGCATAATTATTAAATGTGCAAGAGTAAATTGAGCAATACTGACGTTTAATATGCCCGTGTAAGTTTTGTCTTTGTTGAAACTCACTCTTCATTAAACAAATAATCAGTGTGTGTGTCTTCCATTAGAAACAGCCTTTTTATGTAAGAGACAAATAAAAGAGCACTGCATCATGTATTAAACACACCTGTAACCCAACCCAGAGTTCAGCAACATTAAAAAATACGTAATCAAATACCACACTGACATGAGAAAAAAGGATGCCTTTTATTCTTCAAACAAATCTGTAGCTTCCCTTCCTTATATCCTTCGTATTACTGTCCATGGACATTAACTATGAGGACATCAGTAATAACATAGAATTCAAATGTGTCGGAATATCTGTTAGATAAATTGCACGCCTTTTTTGTGTGCTGAAGTCTCGGTTGATTAATATTACTGTGATTCGGTCCAAATCTATTTTTTGAAATACTCTACCAAACAAAACAATTGGTGGAAAAGCATAAAATTACGTATCACTCCTTTCAACATAAATGCACTAAGGGCTATTACTCCCGTGTCACGTTTCCAAGAAACAGTAGTAATCTTTAGATAAGTTAACACTGGAGCAAACAAATTCACTATATGTTATAAAACATTTTAGGTGTCAAATTTTATTCTCCTTGATCATGAAATTCTCTTGATGCTTTTATGTCATCTATGTTCAAATGACCAAGTAAATGAATAGCACTGACCTATAAATTGCTCTTAGTATTCCACATCCAAATTTCGCAGGCCAAGCCATTGCAATCCACTATAACATACCTTCCCCCTCCCCCAACGTTTTATGCCCATAAGCACTTCTGAAAATTATAAAAAATTATATGTTTCAAAGATTCTACTGATAACTCCTGCCCTCCAGCAGTTTTTCATTAAACGATGCTCCCTTTCCAAAAAGTGAAGTATCAGCAATACATCATTGGTTTTTAGGTTGAGATTATAAAATAGGTTTGAAAATTGGAATTAATTGCAGAAAAATGTTGCAATATAGCCAATTACTGACCTTCTTGCCCTCCTTGCAGAATTTGTTTCTTTGCAAGTTTCCTATAATCAGGCCATTCCGTAATATTGCAGTAATTCTACATTTTAGTTGTTTTAACTTTACTATTTACCAAATTTTACAGCTGCGCTTGCTTACATAAATTCAGCTTTCACATTTCCGCTTGCTTGTATATAGCATAAAACACTAACGTCTAATTGTTATTTCATAAAACATTTCATACTACTGGAATCCTTTTCCCAGGACTTCCGTTATGGATAGCTGGACATGAGCCATTAACGTCATAAACAAGATCTTCAACAAGAACAACGTCACTCCAGTTCATTCTACGTTTTTTACTCTTTATTTCAGAACCAACAAGACAATAATGCTGTCGCAAAATCTTAAGGCATACCTCAACCATGTCTCCAACACAGGTCTCTGGTGCTCTTCCATATTTAAAGAGAATCAAGGAATTATTAATTTCATAATCGGATTCGTTCACACAATGTTTAGCCTTTATACCAGCCTCTTTGTTTGATAAGCAATAACTGGTTAATATTAACTGAGCTGAATCAAGTGCCGACCCAGGTTCACCCGTATGAACACTTAACTGAGGATCTGATAAAATTTCTCTGATGTCGGAAGGTCTTATAGCTGCTTTTGTTTCAAATCTTTTATTGTATTCATCTAAAGATGCACTGCAAATTTTCAGATTCCAATCGTAACGTTCTCGTTCAAAGTGCCATGCGTAATTTAGGACAAGACTTACCGGACATATATAACCATTTGCGCTAATATTTCTGTAAACCTCTTCAAAATCCCGAGCTTTATATCGATTTATTAAGTATTTTCTACAATTTGTAAATGTATCACGATATATGTAAATTGGAAAATGTAGCATAAAGTCCCCAACAGCTTGTCGACCAAGAGCAAGAAATATAGCTCTGTCGCATTGTCTTGCAAACTCAGCGTGTAATAGTGTGCAGTCTGTACCAATAACTCTTAAGCGTGTGCCATTAAACATTGAACGATGGGTCACAGACGCTGAAAATGCAGTGTCGGAATCAACCCATGCTATAACCGTATCGTTTGTGTACAGATCATTATAAAAACTGCTCCAAATTTGTCTGTTGTAACCAGTGTCTCGTTTAGGCCATGGCATTTTTAAGAGTGTTTCATGACCGTTTGGTAAAGCTTCATAAAAAATTTTCAAATTACGACGAGGAAAGTATTTAGTAAAGTGATCTTTCATGATTTCTGCTAGTTTATGATCAAGTTCTGACTCTTCATCCAATACCACCACAAGGTTACCGTATGAGGCGGGCCAAAACAACACCATTGTCCTTAAAAAATCGCAATAAAATCGTTCTATATGCATCCCTGTTAATCGTATAAACAAACTTGCAAATGGCAGTTTGTTAGATTCAACGTTACTTATTCTCAAAGGACTGCTTTTTGAATGCTCGAAATCTTGCTTACTTGTCTCAAGACGAATAATAAATAAAATGTACATGGCACTTGTGATAGATATGATGACAATCAACTTCAAGTAATTTTTCATTGTTATGGGACACCACATAATGATAACTAAAAAATAAAAAAAACTAGATATTTTAATAAGAAAACTTCGGATGTTAAATGTTGGACATTACACAAGATCAGGGGTGGCACCAGAGGGGGCAGGGGGGGCTACAGCCCCCTGTCAGTAATCCTACCCCCACTCCTCGTCGGGGATAATTTGACTATTTATCGGGGAATGATAACAAAAAAATGTAATTTCCAATGTTGATTATCGCCGTTTGTTTAAAGTAATGTTAGCACTCAGCATCGGCAATAATCTTTATACACGCCAGTTATCCTGTATTAAATTTAAAAAAAATAATAAAGTTACTCTGAAATACTTATTTTTAAATGTTCATTAGAAAACGGATATGCAAATGCGACATGAGATATATTTGCATATGCATTCGCCAAACGCTTGCCCGCTCTTAGTTTTCTGTCAGGTATTTTACAACTGGACTTTCGAATTTTTAAAGGAAATTCTTTGTAAAAACTAAGAAAATCTACTGTTTGAGTTTCAAACCAGCAATGAGCATTAGATTTTGGCAGTTTTACATGTATTGCGGCTAACATACAGAAAATATTCACCTTTTGTAAGGTCTTAATTAATGCAGATGCGTTTTGATCTGGGAATAACAACAACTTTGTCTAATTGTGATACTTGTGAAGGAACAATTGACCTTATGAAAGACCAAATATTTAACTTCATCATTAACAGGGTTACTGACATTTGGAGTCATGCTCTCAAAGGAATTAATAAGTTAACTGTGTCACCAGTCAATAGCATATCTTTTCCTAAACAATACCTTTTTATAAAAGAAATCAGTTTGAGCTTGGAGTATCGTCAAAATTTATGGAAACTGAATGTTTAGGTCAGCGTTTCGACGTTTTCTTTAGCGGTGGTTTGTGTTACTTTTCTGTTTAGCTCGGCAAAATAACCATTAGATTCAGATTATGTGTGTGCATATTCTTGGGGCGAGGTTAAAGGATTAGAATGACAGGGATGATGTAGAAAACTGAGCAATTTTACATCTTTGAAATGTCCCACGTTGTCGCTTTTTCTAATCAAACTCCTGTTGCTTTGTTGCAAAGGTGTGAAAGGCGAGTATCTGGCGCCTTAAAACCAGACTGCTCTCTTTTTGTTTAAGGCTTCTCATTACGTTGAGGCTGTCCATGTCGGAATTGCATTTTCACGTGGTGAGGTATCCATTTCCTAGGCATGCTGATGAGCTCTGATATAGGGTGAAACAGTCTTATAATTCATCATATTAACAATGTTGCGTTAGCAGAATTTTTAGCTAATGCGACCACGCCCATTAATTAAAATTTTGTTCGACCACGCCCTTCCGACTAAAGAATTAAAAATCCTGGATCCGTCCCTGCTTCGCGCAGATTGTGCGAAACCTGGTCCTTCGAGCCGGATCTAGTAGCAGAATTCAAGAAGAATACAGAAATAGGATACAAGGTTGTTCACGATGTCAGAGCTGACAAGAAAGCGACAGTCGAGGAGTGGGCACAAATCGTACGCCACAAAAGTTGTGAACAAAGTGAGAAGTATGGTAAACGATAATGCGCCATTAAGGAAAGTCGAACTGGAATAAATGAGGCTTGTACTCGTACAGAAATTAGATACAATTTCAAAGTTGGACGATGAGATTCAGAGCTTGTTAGTAAAAGATGAAGATATTGCGGCAGATATTGACGGCTCATCGGAATACGGCTGCGAAGTTTTAAGCGCGTTGGCCGAAATCAACGGAGCGCTGAGCACGATAGAGACAAACAAGCGAAATGAGGAACTCGCGAACACATCGGCAAGTACGGTATCCAGTGGGGACTCTTCACGTACCCAACACGTACGCAACTTCTTCGTAAGTGTAAAAGATGTTTTGTTTGTCAAAAGAAAGGTAATTTAGCAAATGATTGTCGTGCACGTACTAAATGTATTGTATGTGGGGAGGGTCATCATGTGTCTATATGTGACATAGGAAAGAAGGATGAAAAACAGAATGGTAGCACAGAGAAAACAGATCAGGTAAATGTGAGTAACGTGCATGTGTGTAGAAAGAATAGGGTAGCCTTGCAGACTGCACAAGGAATTCTTGTAGGTCAGAATAGGAAGAGAGTGCGAGTGCTTTTTGACTCGGGAAGTCAGAAGTCTTTCGTGACAAACAGGGCAAAACAAGATGCGAAGCTTAATGTAGCAAGGCGGGAATGGCTAGAGGTCAACACTTTTGGTGGTGGAACAAATGAAGGTAAGATGACAGAGGTCGTCAATTGCGAGGTCGCATCAGTTAATGGTAATTGCCATATTCGTTTAGAGGCATTAGTAGTTCTACTTATTTGTACGGTAAAAAATGAGCATATTGAGGTGGATAAGGAGCAGTATTCTCATTTGAAAAATTTGTTTTTGTCAGATGTAAGTTTGAAGTAGGAGATGTTGGAAGTGGATGTTTTGATAGGAGCAGATAACCTTTGGATTTTTCAGAAAGGAGAAGTAATTAGGGGCAAAAAGGATGAGCCAGTTGCGATTGACACTTGTTTAGGATGGGTTGCATGTAAGCGGTCCACTGAAAGGAAGCTCAAAAATCAAAAATGCACATGCTAATTTAGTTTCGCAGACTGCAACTTAGAATAAAAACAGCATAAACAGGCAGGTGAACAAGTTGTTGGATTTAGAAACACTTGGGGTCAGGGAAACTGACGATGTGCACGAAGCCTTGTTAGATAAAATTGAGTTTAATGGGCATAAGTACTTTGTTAAATTGCCGTGGAAGCAAGGTTATGGGCATTTACCAAGTAACTATGCCAATAGTTTAGCACGCATGAAAGGGCAAATTAAGCGTTTGTCAAATGAGCATGATTTGATAAAGAAATATAATAAAATTATTAGGGATCAACTAAAAATGGGAGTCATTGAAAGGGTTGACTAGTCAGAACCTGGGATGAATGTTCATTATCTTCCCCATCGAGCGGTGTTACGTAAAGAAGCCAAAACAACTAAGCTAAGAATAGTGTATGACGCATCATCAAAGGAGGGTAAGAAAGGGACTTCCTTGAATGACTGTCTTCATGTAGGACCATCATTAACACCGTTGTTGTTTGATTTATTAATCCGATTTAGGGAGAACAGAGTGACCTTGGGAGAAGACATAGAGAAAGCATTTTTCAACATAGAAGTAGACAAAGCAGACAGGGACTATTTAAGATTTCTGTGGGTTAGAGATGCGACTAATGCTAATTTAGAGGTTGTGTTTACAGGTTATGCAGGGTAGTGTTTGGATTAAATGCTTCGCCATTTTTACTCGACGCCACGCTTAGGCATCACATAGCGCAATTTGCAGAATCACATCCAGTGCTTGCTCAAAAATTGAATGAAGGATTTTACGTTGATGACTTAGTTTCGGGGGGCAAAAGCGCACACGAAACGATCGATTTATATGAAAAGGCGAAATTTAGAATGTGTCAAGGCGGTTTTAAGTAAGGAAATAGATGACAAATGACGGAAACGTGCGAGCGCATATAGAACACCGTGAATGCGTGAACAATGTCGTGCAAGCGACAGATACAGACGATGAAACATTCACACAATGGAGTTTGGGAATCCAAAATAACGATGATTACGCAAAAGTTTTAGGTATAAGCTGGGATTGCGACAATGATATGTTCATGTTCGACCTGCAATAGTTTGTAGGAGACTTGGGTGACAAGAAGCTAACTAAACGAAACCTGCTGAGCGCAGTAGCAAAGATATTTCATCCGCTAGGATTAATTAGCTGCGTAATAGTTTTGACGAAAATCTTGTTTCAGCAGCTGTGCGTAGAAAAGATTGATTGGGATGACGAGATAAGCAGAAATTACGCCGGTCTATACACCGAATGGATTGAAGATCTAAACCGTGTTAAGACTATTAAGCTAAGTAGATGCAACTATAGTGGTGTGAAGGGCAAAATTCAATCTTGTGAACTTCACGGGTTTGGTGATGCAAGCGAGAAAGCGTATTGCGCGCTAGTGTATTTTGTCTGTCGCACGAGTGTTGGAGTCTTTTTGAAATTGTTAACAGCAAGAACTAGAGTTGCGCCGCTGAACTAATGTCCGCGCGCCGCGCGCGCGCGCGAGTTGCGCCGCGCTCAGAACTAATGTCCGCACTGACGTTAGCAAAGCTAATGGAATCTGTGCGGAAAGCTTTAGTAGGCCAAGTAGGGAAAATAGAAGCAAGATACTGGTTAGATAGTATTACAATATTATATTGGATTCAGAATCGCGGTGAGTGGAAACAATTTGTTAGACATAGAGTAAATGAAATCTTAGCAATAACACAGAAGGAGAAGTGGGGAAATTGTCCAGGAATGGAGAATCCAGCTGATTTAAGAAGCAGGGGAGTGTTTGCGTCAAAGATACGTGAGCAATCACTTTGGTGGACAGGACCAAGGTGGCTGAGTAGCGTAGAAAGAGAATGGCCGCAATCAGAGGTAGGCGTAACTGAGGAGAGTAAAGAAGAAGAAAAGCGAAAGGCATTATTAGTAGTAGATACTAACAAAGATATAGGTATTCAGAACGTGATCTCTATAGAGAGGCACAGTAGGGTTGAGAAATTATTTCTGGTAACGGCATGGGTCACACGGTTTGTCAGGAATTTGATCGCTAGGATCAAAGGGAAACATGAAGATTTGACCTTCACGGAATTAGGGAGTCAGGAGATAAATGAAGCAGAAAAACTTTGGTTGAAGGCTTCACAACAAAGGCTAAAGAAGGAGGATAAGTTCAAGCAGTTAGAGGTACAACTCAAGGTAGTAGAAGATGAGGGGTTACTAAAATGTCAGGGTAGGCTAGCAGAATCAGACTTGGAAGAGGAAACGAAGTTTCCAATCTTATTACCAAAGGAAGGTAGATTGACGGAATTAATAGTTGAGCATTGCCACAAAAAAGTACATCATAGCGGAAATAGGGCAACTTTAGCAGAGATAAAGTCAAGGTTCTGGATTCCACAAGTTAGACAGAAGGTAAAATCAATTCTCAACAAATGTGTCGTGTGTAAGAAATTAAAGAGTAAGCCATATAATAGACCTAACGAAGCAAACCTTCCGGCATTTAGAGTATAGCAAGCGGAACCATTTTCGAAGGCAGGGGTAGATTTTGCTGGACCACTATTTGTGAAGAATACATCAGGATGGAAAGACAAAGTATACATCGCATTGTTTTCCTGTTGCGTAACTAGGGCCATACTTTTAGACTTAGTTAAAGATTTGTCTGCGGATGAATTCATGAGATGCCTTAGACGATTTTCAGCAAGAAGAGGAACCCCATCATTAATGGTATCAGACAATGCAAAAAAAATTCAAAGCAACGGTCAAGACTTTAAAAAACCTATATAATAATGCAAGTGTGCAAGGGTATTTGGGAAACAATAGGATAGAGTGGAAATTCAATCTAGAAAGAGCTCCCTGGTGGGGTGGATTTTTTCAAAGGATGGTTAGGTCAGTGAAGAGGTGCTCGAAGAAGGTATTAGGAAATGCTAGGTTGACATTTGACGAACTACTGACTGTGTTGGTAGAAGTTGAGGCAACATTAAATTCTAGGCCATTGACTTACACGTACGACGAGGTGGGTAGTGAACCACTAACTCCGTCGCATTTTGTGACGGAAAGAAGGTTGTTGTCCATGCCAGACGAAGGGTCTGGCTAAAAGGAGTCTGATGAGGGTTACTGTAAAAAACGGTATCAGTATTTGAGTAAGAAAAAAATGCATTTCCTGAATAGGTGGCGTAAAGAGTATTTGGTTGGTTTAAGACAGTTTCATAAGCAGGACAAGGACAATGCCATTAGGGTAGTAGGGAAGGGAGATGTCGTGACTGTTTATGAGGATAATGTCAAAAGAGGAAATTGGAAGACAGGTGTAATAGAGGAGTAGTTTTTAGGGAGAGATGGGGTGGTCAGAGGCGCTAAGGTCAGGCTAGTTAAGAACGGTAAAGTCAATCGCCTCAATCGTCCCGTCCAAAAGCTCTTTCCTACGGAGTTAAAGCACGACGAAAGGGAATGTGAGAGGAAAGAGAATGAAAAAGAGCTGAGAAGAAGGGAGGCAGAACATGAGGGTAGACGCAAGAGACCCGCTGCTCTTGATTCTGTATGGAAGACACAGAGAATGCTTGATTAGTGGGACAAATCAAGGTGGGAGTGTGTTGTAAATTCTCATGTCAAATTATGTAGTGTATGACTGTGTCATATTATAGATTATAAGATATAACGGATATTAACTTGATGTAAAATAGTATAGTCATGTTCGGGAGTTCGGAAAAGTTGACGTTATTGGTGTATGAACTGGTCATACAAATTTGATGAATTAGACTCGTATTGCAGAAGGCAATAAATTTCGAAAACGCAGTTCTACGATTGACGGTTGTCCGTAATCTTAACAAGATCAAATTAATCATTCCGTATTGCAAAGAACCAACGCTTGGAACGTAAAATCAGGGGCGGATCTAGAGTATGTCAAATCCGTCGCGCGACTGATGTTTGAAATTCAAAAATTACCTATTCATATTAATTAAAAATTCATTAATTATTCTTACTTTATTATCGCATTTACTTCGTGATAAAAATCCAGCTTTATTTATTATTGAAACCTAATGACTAATCCAATGAATATCTCGATGGTAAACAGATCAGTTGAATTTTAATCGACCTGGAATAACCGACTGATAAGCGGGGTGGGCCTTACTTGAACTGGGCCTTACTTGAGCAAAGTGACGTTAATATCTATTGTGACATAGACATATTGTGACATAGACATATTGTGACATCTTCAAATATTCAGACTATATTGTTGCAAGAGTGACTTGGTCAGGGGTAGAATTCTACCTTTCTACATTTGCTATGTCCCTTAGTATTCTTCAGCTTTCATTTACAACCTTCATCGACCTTAAAACACCAGACAGAATACCTTTTTACTTCGAGCAAGCGCTTTGTCTTATTCACGACTTCTTTGAAATTTTTGTGATTATGAAGCAGCTGTCAAATACTTTCTTTGATATTAATATACATATGACCAAACACAAAGCTCTTTAATGACAAACATGTTATGTATGACAACGGAGAATTGTATTTTTTCATTTCAGTTCTTTCTCTAGGGTGGTGGGTGAAAATTCCAGGTTCACGGACAGATTGATAGTTGCTGGCAAATTTCAGCCAAGAAGCTTGCATTAGTGAAAATATTATGTATGCATTGTAAGACAAAAGAATCGTTTGAATATCAAACCCTTTGCTTCTCAGCAACAAACGTAATTTATTGGAGTGCAAAAAATATTTTGAGGCTGTTACAAGATCCGGCCTAACCGAGTTTGAACGAGGCATGAAAGGATTGTAGCTGTTTGTTAAGTGTCACAAGACGGGCACAAGTCATTCCTGTTGTAATTCTCAAATTACGCCAAATTAGTCGTTTTCATTTTAAATGCTAAGCGTATTTGTAAAGTCAGAATAATGTGAAAATGCTCAAGATGATTTATCTGATAAGTATTTCGCTTTGCTTCAATTAGGAGGTCATATTCATGTTGTTGCTGCAATCTAAAAAAGCTACTTTCCATTTATTTGTACTCTTTGCTACCAACTGTCCATTAAAATGAATATTTAAATGCTATTCGAAATATTATCCTACAAAGTTAAGACACTTGAAATAAAGACACTTGGAAATAAGTATCTTAATAAATAGGAAAAGGTAAAAGAAAATTAAAATATTTAGAAATAATGACATGTTTTCTAAAAGACTAAAATAATTTTGAAGCCAATTCAACAGGTGCAACTGAAATCTAATAATTGGTAAGTGGTTGAGACAAAATAAATACTGGAATCCTTTTCCCAGGACTTCCGTCATGAATAGCTGGACATGAGCCATTAACGTCATAAACTAGAGCTTCAACAAGAACAACGTCATTCCAGTTCATTCTACGTTTTTTACTCTTTATTTCAGAACCAACAAGACAATAATGCTGTCGCAAAATCTTAAGGCATACCTCAACCATGTCTCCAACACAGGTCTCTGGTGCTCATCCAACTTTAGTTAAGAGTAATCAGGAATTTTTACGACTAGATATGTGAAAGTATCGACATCCTTCAATTATTCACTACACTACTCCTCAGTGGCATAGCTTTGTTCTTTTTACTGAAATAGCTGACTTCCTTACCTTGTTTATCAATGAGCACATGACATAACCACTGATCTGATAATAGACTGGATATAGCTTCTACAGGTAGCAAAAGTGAAGCCTAATTATATATGCAAAATTCACTTCCGGTCAAGGTTGCCAGTTTGGCCTTTTATCGGCCAAATAACTGAAATTTGGCCTTTTTGAAACCTGTTTGGCCGGGAAAATTAAAGCAAGCCGGCCAAATCGATTTTGGCCTATTTTGGCCTTTTCAAATTTTGATATCATGAAATTTTATTATTAATTATATTACTCGTAATTGACTGATAATGGCGTATCAGATGAGTACTGTTGTGGTTGTACCCAGTACTTATGCTCTTCCTCGGCCTGATTTGTTATTCAATATTCAGCTCTGTTGCATTTTCACATGAAAATATGTTTAATTGTGTTGCATGATACACTCATAGTTTTCTAATTAATGTTTAATGTCATTCTTGCACAAAATATCTTGTTTCCTATTTCACGAAACACGCCAGAATAAAGCAAGAGTTAAGAATTCATATCAGCCTTTTCGCGTTATATTCTTTCGCGGACCGTTGGGCTCTAGGGGAAATTAGCTCAAATACAACCTTTTCCCAGCAATTAATATCATAACTTTAATTAACAGTAAATTTGCATCTCTACTTTAGGGCAGCTCTTGGTTCTTCTGTTCACAAAGTTCTTACACTTCTGTCTCTAATATGTGTTTCCTTCTTATTATCGTAATTCTCAATCGGTAGTTCTGCTGTTCAATAGTTCAATGTTCGATTCCAGTTAATGGCGTATCACGTGCTAATTCCCGTGCAGTATTCGTGAAACATATCAATATATCATATTTCATATCCTATTTGTGCTTTGTTTCTATAACAAACATTTACTTTGTATTAACAGATGTGAAAATAAGGCTGTGATTAGAGGTGTAGAGTTGTTTGTTTGGGAACGTTCTTTTTTTCGTTACAAAATTTTTAAAATGCCAAAATGGAAATCAAGTTACGATAGCGGCCGCAATTACAATTCCAAATGGGAAAAAGATTTTAGCTGGGTATCTGAAGCACCTAATAATAGGGACAAAGCATATTGTAAACTTTGCCGTCGCTTGTTGCAGGCTAAGCGAGATGCTCTGGCGACCCACGAAAAAAGTGATATTCATCGCTCTTTTGTATCTACAAGTTCTTTTTCACGGCCGTTGACAACTTGCTTTCCATCAACCAGTTCAACATCAAAACGTGCCATACAGGAGTCTGAGATGATGATCGCTTTTCAGACAGCTTGCCATGGATCCATCCGGACAGTAGATCATTTTGGTGAGATATTGGCAACATATGGCAAAAAAAGTGATTTGGAACATATTAGATTGCACCGCACAAAATGCACGAAGATCATCACCGAAGTCGTAGGTCCAGCTTTAAAGGAAGATCTCAAAAAAGATGTTGAAGGAAAGCATTTTTCTTTAATTGTGGACGAAACGACGGATATATCAGTCGCTAAGGATCTGGCAATTATTATTCGTTAATTCAGTGAGAAACAGTGCAAAGTAACCGACTGCTTACTTGAAATTGTTCCAATGTCTTCTGCAACTGGGGAGCTGATTTTTAATGCCATGAAGAAAACACTGGACTGGTACTGTTTAGATTTGAAGAATTGTGTGGGATTTGGATGCGATGGTACCAGTGTAATGGTTGGGCAGCATAACTCAGTGTGGTCCAGAATCAAAGAAATTAACCCAAAGATTGTCATTGTTTTCAATATGCATTGTACAACAACAACAGTTACAAAGTCATTGTTTTCAATATGCATTGTACATAATTTCCAAGGTTTTGTCATGAAATACAACACAGTACTCAAGCGCGCTTATGTTTCGAAATGGTTTCGGTATATATAAAAACTTAACATATATAGTTCAGTGGCAATGAGCAATTTGGCCTT